GTCCGGGGAGAGCGGTTACAGTGAATGCGGGGTCCGGGGAGAGCGGATACCGTGAATGCGGGGTCCGGGGAGAGCGGATATAGTGAATGCGGGGTCCGGGGAGAGCGGATATAGTGAATGCGGGGTCCGGGGAGAGCGGATATAGTGAATGCGGGGTCCGGGGAGAGCGGATATAGTGAATGCCGGGTCCAGGGGAGAGCGGATATAGTGAAATGCGGGGTCCAGGGGAGAGCGGATATACAGAATGCGGGGTCCGGGGAGAGCGGATATAGTGAATGCGGGGTCCGGGAGAGCGGATATAGTGAATGCGGGGTCCGGGGAGAGCGGATATAGTGAATGCGGGGTCCGGGGAGAGCGGATATAGGAAATGCGGGGTCCGGGGAGAGCGGATATAGTGAATGCGGGGTCCGGGGAGAGCGGATATAGTGAATGCGGGGTCCAGGGGAGAGCGGATATAGTGAATGCGGGGTCCGGGGAGAGCGGATATAGGAAATGCGGGGTCCAGGGAGAGCGGATATAGTGAATGCGGGGTCCGGGGAGAGCGGATATAGTGAATGCGGGGTCCAGGGGAGAGCGGATATAGTGAATGCGGGGTCCGGGGAGAGCGGATATAGGGAATGCGGGGTCTGGGGAGAGCGGATATAGGGAATCCGGGGTCCGGGGAGAGCGGAGATAGCGAATGCGGGGTCCGGGGAGAGCGGATATAGCGAATGCAGGGTCCGGCGAGAGGGGATATAGCAAATGCGGGGTCCGGAGAGAGCCGATATAGCGAATGCGGGGTCCGGGGAGAGCGGATATAGTGAATGCGGGGTCCGGGGAGAGCGGATATAGTGAATGCGGGGTCCGGGGACAGCGGATATAGGGAATGCGGGGTCCGGGGACAGCGGATATAGGGAATGCGGGGTCCGGGGAGAGCGGATATAGTGAATGCGGGGTCCGGGGAGAGCAGATATAGGGAATGCGGGGTCCGGGGAGAGCGGATATAGTGAATGCGGGGTCCGGGGAGAGCGGATATAGGGAATGCGGGGTCCGGGAAGAGCGGATATAGTGAATGCGGGGTCCGGGGAGAGCGGATACAGTGAATGCGGGGTCCGGGAGAGCGGATATAGTGAATGCGGGGTCCGGGGAGAGCGGATATAGTGAATGCGGGGTCCGGGGAGAGCGGATACAGTGAATGCGGGGTCCGGGGAGAGCGGATATAGTGAATGCGGGGTCCGGGGAGAGCGGATATAGTGAATGCGGGGTCCGGGGAGAGCGGATATAGTGAATGCGGGGTCCGGGGAGAGCGGATACAGTGAATGCGGGGTCCGGGGAGAGCGGATATAGTGAATGCGGGGTCCGGGGAGAGCGGATACAGTGAATGCGGGGTCCGGGGAGAGCGGATATAGGGAATGCGGGGTCCGGGGTTTTAGTAACACTTCAAATTATTAAGTGAAAAAAAAATCCCAAAAGGAAAGGCCTTCCCTGTGACGTCATCACGTAAGAGTTTACCAGAAGTACAGCTTTCCACACCGTACGCTATTTGGTGGCTATAATCAAACACCTATGTTTTTTCGACATCCTTGTAATTTTGTGCAATAAATGGTGGATTTAGCTTTCTATACTATGAGAGGCAAATTTTTTAATTCCTACAGTGCCTGAAAAAAGTCCCCCTCCCCCTGAAATGTCCCCCATGTTGTCATGTTACAATGTATTCCCCTCCCCCTGAAATGTCCCCCATGTTGTCATGTTACAATGTATCCCCCCCCCCCTGAAATGCCCCCCATGTTGTCATGTTACAAAGTATCCCCCCCCGAAATGTCCCCCCATGTTGTCATGTTACAATGTATTCCCCCCTGAAATGTCCCCCATGTTGTCATGTTACAATGTATTCCCCTCCCCCCTGAAATGTCCCCCATGTTGTCATGTTACAATGTATTCCCCTCCCCCCTGAAATGTCCCCCATGTTGTCATGTTACAATGTATTCCCCCCCCCCGAAATGTCCCCCATGTTGTCATGTTACAATGTATCCCCCCCATGTTGTCATGTTACAATGTATTTCCCCCCCCCCAAAATGTCCCCCATGTTGTCATGTTACAATGTATTCCCCCCTCCTGAAATATCCCCCATGTTGTCATGTTACAATGTATTCCCCTCCCCCCTGAAATGTCCCCCATGTTGTCATGTTACAATGTATTCCCCCCTCCTGAAATGTCCCCCATGTTGTCATGTTACAATGTATTCCCCTCCCCCCTGAAATGTCCCCCATGTTGTCATGTTACAATGTATTCCCCTCCCCCCTGAAATGTCCCCCATGTTGTCATGTTACAATGTATTCCCCTCCCCCCTGAAATGTCCCCCATGTTGTCATGTTACAATGTATTTATTGGGATTGGATGTGATGGACCGACACAAAGTGGCCCATAATTGTGAAGTGGAAGGAAATTTGTGACCAATAAATCTGTGAAAAGTGTGGTGACATTTGTATTCAGCCCCCTTTACTCTGACACCCCTAACTACAATCTAGTGGAGCCAATTGCCTTCAGAAGTCCCCTAATTAGTACATAGAGTCCCCCTGTGTGTCATGTGATCTCAGTATAAATCCAGCTGTTCTGTGAAGCCCTCAGAGGTTTGTTAGAGAACATTAGTTAACAAACAGCATCATGAAGGCCAAGGAACACACCAGACAGGTTGGGGATAAAGTTGTGGAGAAGCGTAAAGGAGGGTTAGGTTATAAACAAATCTCCCGAGCTTTGCCCATCTCACGGAGCACTGTGTTCAATCCATCATCCGAACATGGGAGGAGTACGGCACAACTGCCAACCTACCAAGACACGGCCGTCCACCTAAACTGACCGGCCGGGCAAGGAGAGCATTCATCAGAGAAGCAGCCAAGAGGATCATGGGAACTGAGGAGGAGCTGCAGAGATCACAGCTCAGCCTTTAATTTCACCTCCTGGCCGGGAATCTCCTTTTCGATGACATTTCTCGCACAATCCTCCCATCACTGATTAGAAATTCGTTTGTTTTTCAAAACATTTCCAACATACCGATCACTCAGATTCGATAGTCACTTGAAAATCGGGTGATGCTGCGACCCCAACAGTGCGAAATTCGAATGAAAATTCTTAGTTACAATTAGGGAGGCACCCATACCCTCTTCTGATTGGCTGGTACTGAATACGGATACTTTGGGCTGCGAGTTGCATCGATACAAAATGTACCGCAAATCATATCGCAAAGAATTGAATGCAATTCCTGTCTAAATCGTATGCGGATTCCCCCACGGCTCCTGTGTGACCTGTGCCACACCAGAGGTTTCCAAGGGCCACACCAGAGGTTTCCAAGGGCCACATCAGAGGGCCCTGAGGGCTACGTCAGAGGGCACCAAGGGCCATGTCTGTGGTCTCCAAGGGCCACGTTAGAGAGCTCCGAGGGCCATGTCTGTGGTCTCCAAGTGCCACGCCAGAGGTTTCCAAGGGCCACACCAGAGGTTTCCAAGGGCCACATCAGAGGGCCCTGAGGGCTATGTCAGAGGGCACCAAGGGCCATGTCTGTGGTCTCCAAGGGCCACGCCAGAGGTTTCCAAGGGCCACGTCAGAGGGCTCCAAGGGTCATGCCAGAGGGCTCCGAGAGACACATCAGGGGTCTCCAAGGGCCACGTTAGAGGGCTCTGAGGGCCACATCAGGGGTCTGCAAGGGCCACCAGAGGTTTCCAAAGGCCACACCAGAAGGCCCAAGGGACATGCCAGATTGCTCCAAGGGCTATGTCAGAGGGCACCAAGGGCCACATCAGGGGTCTCCAAGGGCCACCACGTCTGGGGTCTCCAAGGGCCACAGGTTGAGCACCCCTGGTTTAAAGAATACAAGCAAAACTTTTTCGTAGTTTCAGTTAGAGTGGGGGGGGGGGGGGTAGAAGCCATCGCAGGTTTTATTGCTACCAATGGCCCCCATTAGGGAGTTGCACCCTCTCTGTTTGTCCCATTTACTGTTGTCACCGAGAGTGAAAGAATAATCCCAAATCTGGGTTGTCACCAGAACAGGAATACAAGGGAAATCTTCCAATGAGACAGGAAGTTAAGGAAAATCTCCCCAATGAGACAGGAAATGAAGGGAGATCTCCCCAATGAGACAGGAAGTGAAATCTCTCCAATGAGACAGGAAGTGAAGGGAAATCTCTCCAATGAGACAAGAAATGAAGGGAGATCTCCCCAATGACACAGGAAGTGAAATCTCTCCAATGAGACAAGAAATGAAGGGAGATCTCCCCAATGAGACGGGAAGTGAAATCTCTCCAATGAGACAGGAAGTGAATGGAGATCTCCCCAATGAGACAGGAAGTGAAATCTCTCCAATGAGACAAGAAGTGAAGGGAAATCTCTCCAATGAGACAGGAAATGAAGGGAGATCTCCCCAATGACACAGGAAGTGAAATCTCTTCAATGAGACAGGAAGTGAAGGGAGATCTCCCCAATGAGACAGGAAGTGAAGGGAGATCTCTCCAATGAGACAGGAAGTGAAGGGAGATCTCCCCAATGAGACAGGAAGTGAAATCTCTCCAATGAGACAGGAAGTGAAGGGAGATCTCCCCAATGAGACAGGAAGTGAAGGGAGATCTCCCCAATGGGGACACAGCAACAACAAAAAAACCTGACAGAGGTTCTAATTGCCCAAAACATGAACATCCACCTGGAGTCAGACCAGCCAGCAGCCATGCAGGAAGAATATGGAGAAAAGACACTTTCATAAACTTCAGAAAACGTCTCTCCCTGCAATGAAGCCTTCACTGACAACATGCTGCCGCCACTTCCGGTCTGCAACGTCTGTGAGAGGAAGGGGTGAAGGATTATACAAAGTCACCTCCAGTGTCAAAGCCTCGGCCCTCATTGGACGGATGACGAGCCTGGCTGGGTGTTTGTGGGCGGAGAGCAGACGCAGCACGCCGGAGGATTGGACGGGAGTGGTTTGCTGTACTAGGCCGTAGGGAAGCCTCGGGCTAGAGTGATCGGCGCGGCCGGCGATGGGCCCCCTACTGCTCGCCGTGCGGGGGCGCCACCTCTGCCTGACGGGTATCCGGCGTCTGCTAGGCCGGAGCGGGTCACAGAGCAGCCTGGTGCAGGTATGAGGCCCATAAAATGGATTGTTATTGTTTATTATGACAGGACAGCAATGGAGGCTGTTACTTCCCCCTCATCGCTGCCATTGGTGACAACTCGGATTTCCAGGAAAAGTCCCTTCATTCTGCAGTTCTTGTAACAAGGATGTATTTGCTGGATGTAATCACATTCCCTGGGAGGACCAAAGTGACCCCCTGTTCAGAAAAGTGCGGGGTCACCGGATCCCATGTAATGGCGCCCGCCTGGGATGAGTTCTGACCCTCCAGGAGGCGGTCGCTGCAGCCGCTCATATATGAGGGACGTTCCGGCAAAGCGGGACTTGTGAGTTCATATTGAAGACCCCACATTGGCACCTTGTTTACAATCATTACTTCCTGCTTGAAGACGACTGCCGACCCCCAATATTCCATTTATATATTCACTATGATGTCCGCTGTATTGTCCCCGCCCCCGCTGTATTGTCCCCGCCCCCGCTGTATTGTCCCCGCCCCCGTATATACACTATATTGCCCCCGCCCCCCGTATATACACTATGATGTCCGCTGTATTGTCCCCGCCCCCGCTGTATTGTCCCCGCCCCTGTATATACACTATATTGCCCCCGCCCCCCGTATATACATTATGATGTGTCCGCTGTATTGTCCCCGCCCCCGCTGTATTGTCCCCGCCCCCGCTGTATTGTCCCCGCCCCCCGTATATACACTATGATGTCCGCTGTATTGTCCCCGCCCCCCGCTGTATTGTCCCCGCCCCCCGTATATACACTATATTGCCCCAAGTAGTGTCCCCGCCCCTGCTGTATATACACTATATTGCCCCCGCTGTATTGTCCCCGCCCCGTATATACACTATATTGCCCCAAGTATTGTCCCCCCCCGTATATACACTATATTGCCCCAAGTATTGTCCCCGCCCCCCCTGTATATTCACTATGATGTCCGCTGTATTGTCCCGCCCCCGCTGTATTGTCCCTGCCCCCGCTGTATTGTCCCCGCCCCCCGTATATACACTATATTGCCCCAAGTACTGTCCCCGCCCCCCTGTATATACACTATATTGCCCCAAGTATTGTCCCCGCCCCCCCGTATATATACACTATATTGCCCCAAGTATTGTCCCCCCCTCCTGTATATACACCATATTGCCCCCAGTATTGTCCCCGCCCCCCCTTATATACACTATATTGCCCCACGTACTGTCCCCGCCCCCCCTTATATACACTATATTGCTCCAAGTATTGTCCCCGCCCCCCCTATATACACTATATTGCCCCAAGTATTGTCCCCGCCCCCCCCCTGTATATACACTATATTGCCCCAAGTATTGTCCCCGCCCCCCCCCGTATATATACACTATATTGCCCCAAGTATTGTCCCCGCCCCCCCCGTATATACACTATATTGCCCCAAGTATTGTCCCCGCCCCCCCCCGTATATACACTATATTGCCCCAAGTATTGTCCCGCCCCCCGTATATACACTATATTGCCCCAAGTATTGTCCCCGCCCCCCCGTATATACACTATATTGCCCCAAGTATTGTCCCCGCCCCCCGTATATACACTATATTGCCCCAAGTATTGTCCCCGCCCCCCGTATATACATTATATTGCCCCAAGTATTGTCCCCGCCCCCCCCGTATATACACTATATTGCCCCAAGTATTGTCCCCGCCCCCCCCCCCCGTATATACACTATATCGCCCCAAGTATTGTCCCCGCCCCCCCCCCCGTATATACATTATATTGCCCCAAGTATTGTCCCCGCCCCCCGTATATACACTATATTGCCCCAAGTATTGTCCCCGCCCCCCCGTATATACACTATATTGCCCCAAGTATTGTCCCCGCCCCCCCGTATATACATTATATTGCCCCAAGTATTGTCCCCGCCCCCCCGTATATACACTATATTGCCCCAAGTATTGTCCCCGCCCCCCATGTATATACACTATATTGCCCCAAGTATTGTCCCCGCCCCCCCCGTATATACACTATATTGCCCCAAGTATTGTCCCCCCGCCCCCCCGTATATACACTATATTGCCCCAAGTATTGTCCCCGCCCCCCCGTATATACACTATATTGCCCCAAGTATTGTCCCCGCCCCCCCGTATATACACTATATTGCCCCAAGTATTGTCCCCGCCCCCCCGTATATACACTATATTGCCCCAAGTATTGTCCCCGCCCCCCCGTATATATACACTATATTGCCCCAAGTATTGTCCCCGCCCCCCCGTATATATTTCAGGTACTTATATAACATACATTTGGCCGGGGGGGCTGACCTTTCCTTGTGAGTGCCAATTCCTTGGCTGGTAATCTGAGGATAATGGCGAGTTTAGTTGCTGGGTGTGAACTCATTTTATCGGCCAGAATAATCATTTTGTACGTAATGCTCAGGCACTAGATTGCGTCGCTGCGCCTTTACATGCGACTAGGCCGGCCGCGGGGGTTTATTCTGCCGAGTGCTGTTGCTCCTGGAAACACTTGGCAGCGAGTTTCTTCTGCCTCTAAACCCACATAGGCAACATGTTTGTGTTATGACTGAACTTACCGGTGGGAAGGAGGAGAGGGAACCAAGGAGCACTGCGGGGGTGGGCACACAGGGGGGCCCAGGCAACAATGTATGGTGCATAGGGAGGTGATGGGTGCGGCGGGGGAGGGGAACAATTACTGGAATCGATCCCCTTTATGTCTCTCTCTCTGCAGCAGCTGAAAGGCAGCAGGAGGGAGAGGAGAAGAAGCCGGCTTTCAGCTGCTGCACAGAGAGCCATACAGGGGATCGGTTCCAGTAATTGCATTCAAACTGTGCTGATCACCCTCTCTAGACACATCCGATTTACCCAGCTGCCTGGGCCCCCTTGCTGGCCTGGGCCCCGTACAGGACTGGTGGTACCCCCATATCCACAGCCCTGCATACAGGGGATCGTTTCCAGTAATTGCACCCTCACTGTGCCGATCACCCTCCCTGCCCACATCTGATTTACCCAGCTGCCTGGGCCCCCCTGCTGGCCTGGGCCCCGTACAGGACTGGTGGTACCCCCATATCCACAGCCCTGCATACAGGGGATCGGTTCCAGTAATTGCCCCCCTCACTGTGCTGATCACCCCTCCCTGCCCACATCCGATTTACCCAGCTGCCTGGGCCCCCTTGCTGGCCTGGGCCCCGTACAGGACTGGTGGTACCCCCATATCCACAGCCCTGCATACAGGGGATCGGTTCCAGTAATTGCACCCTCACTGTGCCGATCACCCTCCCTGCCCACATCTGATTTACCCAGCTGCCTGGGCCCCCCTGCTGGCCTGGGCCCCGTACAGGACTGGTGGTACCCCCATATCCACAGCCCTGCATACAGGGGATCGGTTCCAGTAATTGCCCCCCTCACTGTGCTGATCACCCTCCCTGCCCACATCTGATTTACCCAGCTGCCTGGGCCCCCCTGCTGGCCTGGGCCCCGTACAGGAGGACTGGTGGTGATACCCCCTTATCCATGGCCCTGGGGTCCGGTCTTGCACTTGAAGGATTGGTGGATTAGGTGGGTAAATCTCCGCCCCTAGACAAAAGCGAGCAGTTAGCCCATGCAGTGCAGGCGCAGCCCCACTGCATGGTACAAAAACCTTTTTTGCCCAAAATTCTGCTTTAAGTTCTTGAATGCTTTTTCTTGTTTCCTAGAATTGCTCTTTTAACACCCAAGTATACATTTTGCCTTCAATTTTTTTTCCTTACTCCTTTTCCATGTATATTTCTATTCCAGACTTTGCTGTGCAGAAGGATCACCCCCACCTTTAAGGGGATCACCAGCGTCTTGGTAAAGCAGCATATTGTCAGAGACCCAGTCCAGCTATGGAGGCTGCTAGGTTGGTGATTCTTCTACAGTAACAAGGAGCAGAGCGCGGAGCTGTGTGTACAGCCACATCATCTCTCTGTGTTCTCTATTTTAGGGGGAATTCATTATTTTCAGAACACTGAATCAAGAAGACAAGAAAACAAAAAAGAAAATTCAAACCAGAGAAGTCAACAAGATGACGATGGTATGAGACCTTTATATTGGTGTGATGGACAGGTGCATCTTTAACCGCTTAAGGACCGCCCTATAGCAGAAATACCGCTACAGGGCGGCCCCTGCGCGCAAAATCACACACACACACACACACACACACATATATATATATATACTGTATATACAGGGCGGCCCCTGTGCCGCAAAATCACATATACTGTATATACAGGGCGGCACCTGTGCGCAACATCGCACACACACATATATATATATACAGTGGGGATGGAAAGTTTGGGCACCCCAGCTAAAAATGTGTATTAATGTGCATTAAGAAGCCAAGGAAAGATGGAAAAATCTCCAAAAGGCATCAAATTACAGATTAGACATTCTTATAATATGTCAACAAAAGTTAGATTTTATTTCCATCATTTACACTTTCAAAATAACAGAAAACAAAAAAATGGCGTCTGCAAAAGTTTGGGCCCCCTGCAGAGTTAATATCTTGTACTGCCCCCTTTGGCAAGTATCACGGCTTGTAAACGCTTTTTGTAGCCAGCCAAGAGTCTTTCAATTCTTGTTTTTGAGGTATCTTTGCCCATTCTTCCTTACAAAAGTCTTCCAGTTCTTTGAGATTTCTGGGCTGTCTGTCAGCACGGCTCTTTTAAGGTCTATCCATAGATTTTCAATGATGTTGAGGTCAGGAGATTGTGAAGGCCATGGCAAAACCTTCAGTTTACGCCTCTTGATGTAATCCCCCGTGGATTTCGAGGTGTGTTTAGGATCATTATCCATTTGTAGAAGCCATCCTCTCTTTAACTTCAGCTTTTTCACAGATGGCATCAAGTTACCATCCAAAATTTGCTGAAATTTTATTGAATCCATTTTTCCTTCTACTCGGGAGATGTTCCCTGTGCCACTGGCTGCAACACAACCCCAAAGCATGATTGACCCAACCCCATGCTTCACAGTTGGACAGAGGTTCTTTTCATTAATTTTCTGTGCCCCTTCTTCCCCAAACGTACCTTTGCTCATTCCGGCCAAAAAGTTCCATTTTAACCTCATCGGTCCACAGAACTTGTTTCCAAATGCATCAGGCTTGTCTATATGTTCATTTGCAAAGTTCAAACGATGATTTTTGTGGGTGAGGACGTAGAAGAGGTTTTCTTCTGATGACTCTTCCATGAAGACCATATTTGTACAAGTATCTCTTTATAGTGGAATAGTGACCACAACTCCAGTGTCTGCCAGATCTTTCTGGAGGGATCGTGCAGTCAAACGTGGGTTTTCAATTGTTTTTCTCACAATCCTGCGAGCTGTTCTGTCTGATATTTTTCTTGGTCTTCCAGATCTTGCTTTAACTTCCACTGTTCCTGATGACTGCCATTTCTTAATGACATTCCGAACAGAGGATATTGACATCTGAAAATGCTTTGCTATCTTCTTATAGCCTTCTCCAGCTTTGTGAGCGTCAACTGTTTTCAGTTTCAGTTTTCTAGACAACTGCTTAGAAGAAGCCATGGTGCTGATTGTTGGGGCAAGGTCAGATGAGTCTGGGCATTTAAAACCTTTGAGATTGACATCACCTGGTCTTCCCGGACGATGATTGAGAACAATCCATGACACTGGCAGGTCTCAGCTTGGCAAAGGGGGCAGTGCATGCTATAAATTCTGCAGGGTGCCCAAACTTTTGTAGACGCCATTTTTTTGTTTTGTGTTATTTTGAAAGTGTAAATGATGGAAATAAAATCTAACTTTTGTTGACATATTATAAGAATGTCTAATCTGTAATTTGATGCCTTTTGGAGATTTTTCCATCTTTCCTTGGCTTCTTTATGCACATTAATACACATTTTTAGCTGGGGTGCCCAAACTTTCCATCCCCACTGTATACTGTATATACAGGGCTTAAAATTTCGAGTCTAGACCTACTAGCCAGGCACAAACCTTACACTCCACCAGTTGCCCCACCGAACCTTGCCCAGGTCCGCCTCCAACCCCACCCCCAGCCCTGCCCCCAACCACGCCCCCTTAAAGCTTATGAAATTACATTTTTCTTTAGAATAAAGATTAGAAAATATAAAAGTGTACACAGTAATGTATATCCCAGCTCCCCTGTACTCCATTATAGTGATCTGACGTATACAGTTCTTACTCCTCGAATCCCCCGCAGCGGTGGAGAGGGTGTCTCCTCTCAGTGGAGAGAGAGCGGACCTCTCCTGCACCTGTCTTCTCGCATTTGGCGAGTGGCTTTTTCAAACCCTGTATGTGTGTATATATATATATATATATATATATGTATATGTGTGTGTGTGTGTGTGTATGTATGTATGTATGTGTATATATATATATATATATATATATATATATATATATATGTATGTGATTTTTGCATCTACGGGTAGGGGGTGCACGCGAGTGTCAATCACCGGGTCCTGGCCGGAAATTACCGACAATCAGCGATGGGGAGGAAGACTTTTGTTTACAGTCTTCCTCCCTGTCAGCTCGGGATGGCTGTGCACAGCATCAGCCCATCTCATTAACCTCTTCCTGCCCAGTGCCATTAGTACAGTGTCAGTGCTTTTTTTTTTTTTTTTTTTTTTTTTAAATCAGCACTAATCACTGTATTGGTGTCACTGAGGCTGTCAGTGACACCAAGTCAGTTTCCCCACCCTGTGTCAGAGTGCCCGCCATAGTCCCAGTAAAAGTTGCTGATCGGCACCATTATTAATAGAAATCCCAGCATGTATACCGCCATTTGTAAATGCTATAACTTTCACATAAACCAATTAATTTACACGTATTGGGATTTTTTACCAAAAGCACGGAGCGGAATACATTTTGGCCTAAATTTATGACGAAATTAGATTTAAAAAAAAAAATGTTTACTGGGTGTGATTTATAGCGAAAAGTCCAAAATATTGTTTTCTTTCTCAAAATTGTCGGTCTGTTTTTCCTTATAGCTCCAAAAAAGCGTAGAGGTGATCAAATACCACCAAAAGAAAGCTCTATTTGTGGGGAAAAAAGATTGTAAACTTAATTTGGGTGCAGCGTTGCATGACTGCGCAATTGTCAGTTAAAATAACGCATCGCTGTAACACAAAAACGGCCTGGTCAGGAAGGGGGGGGGGGGGACATCCTCTGGAGGGGGAGGGGTTAAAGGACACAGAACAACACAAAGTTATTTTTTTTTAAATAACAAACCTAAGAAACCTGTTACACTTACCTCTGTCCTATGGTTTTGCACAGAGCGGCCCCGATGCTCCTCTTCTGTGGTCCCCCACTGGCAGTCCTTGGCCCCTCTCTACTCTCATGTGCCACCATAGGAGGCCGATACCTATGGTGGCACATATGCGGGCTCAATCCCGAGTCAGACACACAGTGTGGCTCAGCCCTGCTCCCTCATCACTGGATTTGATTGACAGCAGCAGGAACCACTGGCTCCTACTTCTCTCACTTAGTCCAGTGAGAAGGGAGAGAGAGAGCAGTGCCGCTGCTCTTGGGCACAGTGCTGGATCGAGATTGGACTCGGGTAAGTATTTGGTGGGGGAGAGCTGAAAATTTAAATGTTTTTTTTTACCTTAAAGTGTAACAGTGACATCAGTCTGTAGATGCAGCAAAGCGTGCTGGTTATACTCACTGTGGAACCTAAGGGGTTAATCCTCTGCATTGTGTAAAAAGGCTGTTTGATCCTCCCTCTACTGTCCCCAATCCATCTGTTGATAGAACAGAGCCTTGGGGGCAAGCTGCACATGCTCAGTTTGGTGTGTATTGCTAGAGAGGTTTTTTTTTTTTTTCTCTTCTTGGGAGAGTGCATATGATCAGCACGGGGCCAATCAATAGTGAATGCGGGGTCTGGGGAGAGCGGATATAGTGAATGCGGGGTCCGGGGAGAGCGGATATAGTGAATGCGGGGTCCGGGGAGAGCGGATATAGTGAATGCGGGGTCCGGGGAGAGCGGATATAGTGAATGCGGGGTCCGGGGAGAGCGGATACAGTGAATACGGGGTCCGGGGAGAGAGGATATAGGGAATGCGGGGTCCGGGGAGAGCGGGTATAGTGAATGCTGGGTCCGGGGAGAGCGGGTATAGTGAATGCGGGGTCCGGGGAGAGCGGGTATAGTGAATGCGGGGTCCGGGGAGAGTGGATATAGTGAATGCGGGGTCCGGGGAGAGAGGGATATAGTGAATGCGAGGTCCGGGGAGAGCGGATATAGTGAATGCGGGGTGCGGGGAGAGGGGATATAGTGAATGCGGGGTCCGGGGAGAGCGGATATAGTGAATGCGAGGTCCGGGGAGAGCGGATATAGTGAATGCGGGGTCCGGGGAGAGCGGATATAGTGAATGCGGGGTCCGGGGAGAGCGGATATAGTGAATGCGGGGTCCGGGGAGAGCGGATATAGTGAATGCGAGGTCCGGGGAGAGCGGATATAGTGAATGCGGGGTCCGGGGAGAGCGGATATAGTGAATGCGGGGTCCGGGGAGAGCGGATGTAGTGAGTGCGGGGTCCGGGGAGAGCGGATGTAGTGAGTGCGGGGTCCGGGGAGAGCGGATATAGTGAATGCGGGGTCCGGGGAGAGCGGATATAGGGAATGCGGGGTCCGGGGAGAGCGGGTATAGTGAATGCGGGGTCCAGGGAGAGCGGGTATAGTGAATGCTGGGTCCGGGGAGAGTGGATATAGTGAATGCGGGGTCTGGGGAGAGCGGATATAGTGAATGCGGGGTCCGGGGAGAGCGGATATAGTGAATGCGGGGTCCGGGGAGAGCGGGTATAGTGAATGCTGGGTCCGGGGAGAGCGGATATAGTGAATGCGGGGTCCGGGGAGAGCGGATATAGTGAATGCGGGGTCCGGGGAGAGAGGATATAGTGAATGCGGGGTCCGGGGAGAGCGGATATAGTGAATGCGGGGTCCGGGGAGAGCGGATATAGTGAATGCGGGGTCCGGGGAGAGAGGGATATAGTGAATGCGGGGTCCGGGGAGAGCGGATACAGTGAATGCGGGGTCCGGGGAGAGCGGATATAGTGAATGCGGGGTCCGGGGAGAGCGGGTATAGTGAATGCGGGGTCCGGGGAGAGCGGATACAGTGAATGCGGGGTCCGGGGAGAGCGGATATAGTGAATGCGGGGTCCGGGGAGAGCGGATATAGTGAATGCGGGGTCCGGGGAGAGCGGATATAGTGAATGCGGGGTCCGGGGAGAGCGGGTATAGTGAATGCTGGGTCCGGGAGAGAGCGGATATAGTGAATGCGGGGTCCGGGGAGAGCGGATACAGTGAATGCGGGGTCCGGGGAGAGCGGATATAGTGAATGCGGGGTCCGGGGAGAGCGGGTATAGTGAATGCGGGGTCCGGGGAGAGCGGATACAGTGAATGCGGGGTCCGGGGGGAGCGGATATAGTGAATGCGGGGTCCGGGGAGAGCGGATATAGTGAATGCGGGGTCCGGGGAGAGCGGATATAGTGAATGCGGGGTCCGGGGAGAGCGGATAAAGTGAATACGGGGTCCGGGGAGAGCGGATATAGTGAATGCGGGGTCCGGGGAGAGCGGATATAGTGAATGCGGGGTCCGGGGAGAGCGGATAAAGTGAATACGGGGTCCGGGGAGAGCCGATATAGTGAATGCGGGATCCGGGGAGAGCCGATATAGTGAATGCGGGGTCCGGGGAGAGCCGATATAGTGAATGCGGGGTCCAGGGAGAGCGGGCTCAAACAGTCCCGTGTGATTCTTCTCACTAACTTTACTCTTTGTTGTTTCTTAGATGAAAGGAAGAAAAGACAAGACTTAATTCGGGTCTTTCGGTATTTCATTCTGGCGCTGACGCTGATTATATTGATCAAGCTCCTGTTTGTTGTAAACTATATAGAAGTCTCCTGGAACGACTTTATAAATGAAATGTTAGCCAAGGGTGAGGTGGCTCGGGTGGAAGTTGACCTGGAGATGGACTTTGTGTATATACATCTACATCCCGATTCAGTGTTGTTGGGCCAAGCGGTGAGTCCTTCATTTTTTATTTTTGTTTTTTTTTCTCTCTTTTAACCACTTCCCGTCCGGCCATTGTATATAAACGGCCAGATGGTGGCAGTGCAGGGGCGGGTGGACGTTTATAAGTGGCCTCCCCGCCCCCTGCTTATGCGCACTCCCTGGGAGCACGCAGCACCGCGATCTGATGCCCGCTGTGTCCTTGGGACACAGTGGAAACCCGATCGTCGTACGGGACCTCTGTGCGGTGTCCCGATCATGTGATCCTTATTGGCCAATCAGTGATTACATGCAGAGTAGTAAGCAAGATGTCACTTATTTATTATTATTTATTTCAGGTACTTGTATAGCGCCGTCTATTTACGCAGCGCTTTACATATATATATTGTACATTCACATCGGTCCCTAACCCTCAAGGGGCGTACAATCTAAGGTCCCTAACCCTCAAGGGGCGTACAATCTAAGGTCCCTAACCCTCAAGGGGCGTACAATCTAAGGTCCCTAACCCTCAAGGGGTGTACAATCTAAGGTCCCTAACCCTCAAGGGGCGTACAATCTAAGGTCCCTAACTCACATTCATACATACACATACCAGGGACAATTTAGACAGGAGCCAATTAACCAACCAGCATGTCTTTGGAGTCTGACATCATTGCTTACTACGTGTGAAATTTGTGAATGATCACAGAGATCACATGGTACAGGGCTATTCACAACAGCCTTCTACCATGTGACAAGCTGTGACCAATCACAGCTCACACAGTATTTCTCAATGGCTGCAAGAATGCAGCCAGAGAGAAGGAAAAATGATTGCTTTTACAGCCTTTTATGGGTGTAAAAGCAATCCGTGTAAAAAAAAAATAAAATCTTTATCACTCCCCACAAGTAGTACAGTGTCACCATGGTGACACTGTACTGCTAGGGTGGCAGTATATCCGCTCTCCCCGGACCCCACATTCACTATATCCGCTCTCCCCGGACCCCGCACTCACTATATCCGCTCTCCCCGGACCCCGCATTCACTATATCCGCTCTTCCCGGACCCCGCATTCACTATATCCGCTCTTCCCGGACCCCGCATTCACTATATCCACTCTCCCCGGACCCCGCATTCACTGTATCCGCTCTCCCCGGACCCCGCATTCACTATAGCCGCTCTCCCCGGACCCCACATTCACTATATCCGCTCTCCCCGGACCCCGCATTCACTATATCCGCTCTCCCCGACCCCGCATTCACTATATCCGCTCTCCCCGGACCCCGCATTCACTATAGCCGCTCTCCCCGGACCCCGCATTCACTATAGCCGCTCTCCCCGGACCCCGCATTCACTATAGCCGCTCTCCCCGGACCCCGCATTCACTATATCCGCTCTCCCCGGACCCCGCATTCACTATATCCGCTCTCCCCGGACCCCGCATTCACTATAGCCGCTCTCCCCGGACCCCGCATTCACTATAGCCGCTCTCCCCGGACCCCGCATTCACTATAGCCGCTCTCCCCGGACCCCGCATTCACTATAGCCGCTCTCCCCGGACCCCGCATTCACTATAGCCGCTCTCCCCGGACCCCGCATTCACTATATCCGCTCTCCCCGGACCCCGCATTCACTATAGCCGCTCTCCCCGGACCCCGCATTCACTATAGCCGCTCTCCCCGGACCCCGCATTCACTATAGCCGCTCTCCCCGGACCCCGCATTCACTATATCCGCTCTCCCCGGACCCCGCATTCACTATATCCGCTCTCCCCGGACCCCGCATTCACTATATCCGCTCTCCCCGGACCCCGCATTCACTATATCGCTCTCTCCGGACCCCGCATTCGTTATACTTGCTCTCCCCGGACCCCGCATTCACTATATCTGCTCCCCCCGGACCCCGCATTCACTATATCCGCTCTCCCCGGACCCCGCATTCACTATATCCGCTCTCCCCGGACCCCGCATTCACTATATCCGCTCTCCCCGGACCCCGCATTCACTATATCAGCTCTCCCCGGACCCCGCATTCACTATATCCTCTCTCCCCGGACCCCGCATTCACTATATCCGCCCTCCCCGGACCCCGCATTCACTATATCCGCTCTCCCCGGACCCCGCATTCACTGTATCCGCTCTCCTCGGACCCCGCATTCACTGTATCCGCTCTCCTCGGACCCCGCATTCACTGTATCCGCTCTCCTCGGACCCCGCATTCACTGTATCCGCCCTCCCCGGACCGCCCTCCCCGCATTCACTATATCCGCCCCCTCCCGGACCCCGCATTCACTATATCCGCTCTCCCCGGACCCCGCATTCACTGTATCCGCTCTCCCCGGACCCCGCATTCACTATATCCGCTCTCCCCGGACCCCGCATTCCCTATATCCGCTCTCCCCGGACCCCGCATTCCCTATATCCGCTCTCCCCGGACCCCGCATTCACTATATCCGCTCTCCCCGGACCCCGCATTCCCTATATCCGCTCTCCCCGGACCCCGCATTCCCTATATCCGCTCTCCCCGGACCCCGCATTCCCTATATCCGCTCTCCCCGGACCCCGCATTCCCTATATCCGCTCTCCCCGGACCCCGCATTCCCTATATCCGCTCTCCCCGGACCCCGCATTCACTATATCCGCTCTCCCCGGACCCCGCATTCACTATATCCGCCCTCCCCGGACCCCGCATTCACTATATCCGCTCTCCCCGGACCCCGCATTCCCTATACCCGCATTCACAGTGCCTGGTGGGTAGGAAGGGGGTGACAGTGCCCGGTAGGGAGGAAGGGAGGGGACAGTGTCCCGGTAGGCAGGAAGGGGGGGGGACAGTGTCCGTAGGCAGGAAGGGGGGGGGACAGTGTCCGGTAGGCAGGAAGGGGGGGGACAGTGTCCGGTAGGCAGGAAGGGGGGGGACAGTGCCCGGTAGGCAGGAAGGGGGTAGAAGTGTCCGGTAGGCAGGAAGGGGGGGGACAGTGTCCGGTAGGCAGGAAGGGGGGGGACAGTGCCCGGTAGGCAGGAAGGGGGGGACAGTGCCCGGTAGGCAGGAAGGGGGGGACAGTGCCCGGTAGGCAGGAAGGGGGGGCATTGCCCGGTAGGCAGGAAGGGGGGGACAGTGCCCGGTAGGCAGGAAGGGGGGGCATTGCCCGGTAGGCAGGAAGGGGGGGACAGTGCCCGGTAGGCAGGAAGGGGGGGACAGTGCCCGGTAGGCAGGAAGGGGGGGCATTGCCCGGTAGGCAGGAAGGGGGGGACAGTGCCCGGTAGTGAAGGGGTCAAGCATAAGTGAGAATACGTTTGCTGGGTAATGTTACGGCGAGCATTTAAAGGAGAGATGGTTCTCCTGACTCTTCTGTTTCTCCAACACAGGCCAGACGTCAATACTACAGAATGAAGGTTGCCAACATGGACAAGTTTGAGGAAAGGCTTCGAACTGCAGAAGATTCATTAAACATTTCAGTGATGGATCGCATCCCTGTCAAATACCGGCATATCGACGTATCTGCAAAGTACGGCCAGTTCTTGTCTGAGACATTTTTTCAGCCATATTGAATAATTTGAGCCATGGAAGCTGTTGTGGTGAATGGAAAGTGTCAGTTTTGTGTTTCCTAACAGACGTTTAGTCTGATTTTGGAGGGAAAGTTATTCCTGTCCGCAGCAACAAATTTTATTTGCTTTTCTAAAAAAAAAAAAAAAAAGAAAATTAAATTATATATCAAGAATAAGAAGTTTTTACATTTATTATTTCACACAGCCACGCTGTGTATGGATGCACAAAGCCCAGCTTACCAGCACGCCCGCCCGCATGGGTGCCCCCTCAGCATACAGCTTTCTGAGGGGGCACCTGCAAGAGAACAGGCATGGACAGTGCCGTCGGGGGACTTCAGAAGAGAAGGTAAGGAGCCGCTCTGTGCAGTGCGCTTACACAGAGCAGGTAAGTATCACTTCTTTTTTATTTTAACTAAACAAAGGGCTTTACAATAACTTTAGGTTCTGTTAATGTATCTATGGCAGGTTAAGGTACCTATATGTATGAGCTGAACATTATCTTGCAGCCAAATCAAACCGAATACTTTTTGTAATCTGTTGGCACCCATTAGCTGCCCCTTGTGATGGGGTCCAATGCATTAGAAGCCCCTGTCTGATTACTATGCCTCTGCCTTACCCCAGCGCTGTTTGCCCATTAGCTGCCCCTTGTGATGGGTCCACCATATTAGAAGCCCCCATCTGATTACTATGCCTCTGCCTTACCCCAGCGCTGTTTGCCCACTATGGGTCCTCTGCCTTACCCCAGCGCTGTTTGCCCATTAGCTGCCCCTTCTGATGGTCCACCATATTAGAAGCCCCTGTCTGATTACTATGCCTCTGCCTTACCCCAGCGCTGTTTGCCCATTAGCTGCCCCATCTGATCGGTCCACCATATTAGAAGCCCCCATGTCTGATTACTATGCCTCTGCCTTACCCCAGCGCTGTTTGCCCATTCTCTTGGTCTCATTCTCCTCTCCACATTGGCATAAAAACAGATTTACTAAGCTCTCCTTACCCCAGAAACACAAATGTTCTGGCCTCTGCCAAGAACTAGCCCCATGTGATGGTCCACGCCCCCATGGCCGTCGCCTTACCCCTCGATGCCCCAGTTGCACATGCATGTCTTGCTTTTGCCCATTATGTCTTTCCACAACCTTTAGAAATTAAAATGATGAAGACGAGGATCAATCCTTTGCCTAATCTATGTTCTCATTCTCCTTCCTCCACATGATATTCTAAGCTATGTATAGCTGGTGGCCGTCATCATTCAATGCATGTTCTTTCCCATGAAGCCATCAGATATTACACGCAGCATTTCATGTCAGATTTACACGGTATGAGGTACCAACATTCCGTGAGATACATTCTGTGTTTCTTCTTTTTATTTTTTGGTGGCAGTCATAGAGATCTCCATAGAAAATTCTGTCCATGAAACGCTTCTTTTACATTTAGTCCCATGGTAACAAGCACACGATGAACATTTCACATCCCACCTGGTAGATGCAGTTGGCATCGTTTTCGTACACACAAATAGCCCATCTTATCCAATCAAAGTCAGTGCTTCTTGTACAGGAAACTGAAATCCTGATATGCATTTTAAGCCGGCCATCGATGGAGTGATTTTCTTTTCTGCAACCACAGGTTGCAGGAAAGAAAATCGCTTGATTCCCCCCCACAGTCAGTGTTGATGGGGGAATCCTCCCGCCATTGTGTTCCCCAGGTGGGTCTCTGCCGGGAGAACACAGTGATTACTGCTAGCGGCTATAACCACATAAAATCCGACAGGCTGGTTGTACCGAGTTCATCGATTGATCACCTTTGGTACAGTCAGCCCGCCCATACATGGTTTGAATATCGGCGTGGTCCCTGCTGAACCGGCCAAGATTCGAACCGCCTATTGCTGGCTTTACTCTACACGTACTATTATGTATACCTGGTTGTGTTTTTAGTTTGTCTCACACTTGATTATTGTGTTTCTACACATTTCATGTAATTGTAATTGTTGCTTTTCTCCTTACAGGATCATAAATTCTGCAGTCGCGGTTAGCATCTTTTTTTGCCCTTTTCTACCTTCTTTTTCCGGAGATTTGGGGAGGCAGTACGTCAAGGAGCTTTTGGGGCTTTTGTAAGTTACACAGCATAAAAAATCTTGTGCCTGATTTGTTCTACTGTTTCCTCAGTTTACGATCACCTGTGGGCATATAGGCTATCCTATGGGCAGTAGAAAGTCCATTCACCCCTCCCCCTCCAGAGGATTCCATTCTCCCCCCCCCCCCCCCCCCCCCCCCCCCCCACCATTACTTCCTGACCAGGCCCACTTTGCCAATTGCGCGGTCATGCAACAAAGCACCCAAATTAAATTTTTGCACTTTTTTTTTTTTTTTTTTCCCCACATATAGAGCTTTCTTTTGATGGTGTTTGATCACCTGTGCGTTTTTTTTTATTTTTTTTGCTATAAACAAAAAAAGACTGACAATTTTGAGAAAAAAACTTTGACTTTTTGCTGTTAAACATGTCCAGTAAAAAATTAAAAAATAAAATTTCATCATAAATTTAGGCTAAAATGTATTCTGCTCCATGTCTTTGCTAAAAAAAAAAAAAATCCTGATACGTGTCAATTAATTGGTTTACGTGAAAGATACAGCGTCTACAAATGGCGGGATAGATACTGGGATTTTTTTTTTTTTCTCTTTTCTCTGACCATCTCTTGTTATCATGTCTGCGGTCTCTGACCATCTCCTGTATCATGTCTGCGGTCTCTGACCATCTCCTGTATCATGTCTGCGGTCTCTGACCATCTCCTGTATCATGTCTGCAGTCTCTGACCATCTCTTGTATCGTGTCTGCAGTCTCTGACCATCTCCTGTATCATGTCTGCGGTCTCTGACCATCTCCTGTATCATGTCTGCGGTCTCTGACCATCTCTTGTATCGTGTCTGCAGTCTCTGACCATCTCCTGTATCATGTCTGCAGTCTCTGACCATCTCTTGTATCATGTCTGCAGTCTCTGACCATCTCTTGTACCATGTCTGCAGTCTCTGACCATCTCCTGTATCATGTCTGCAGTCTCTGACCATCTCCTGTATCATGTCTGCAGTCTCTGACCATCTCCTGTATCATGTCTGCAGTCACTGACCATCTCCTGTACTATGTCTGCAGTCTCTGACCATCTCCTGTACTATGTCTGCAGTCTCTGACCATCTCCTGTATCATGTCTGCAGTCTCTGACCATCTCCTGTATCATGTCTGCAGTCTCTGGTCATCTCTTGTACCCTGTCTGCAGTCTCTGACCATCTCTTGTATCATGTCTGCAGTCTCTGACCATCTCCTGTACTATGTCTGCAGTCTCTGACCATCTCCTGTATCATGTCTGCAGTCTCTGGTCATCTCTTGTACCCTGTCTGCAGTCTCTGACCATCTCTTGTATCATGTCTGCAGTCTCTGACCATCTCTTGTATCATGTCTGCAGTCTCTGACCATCTCTTGTACCCTGTCTGCAGTCTCTGACCATCTCTTGTACCCTGTCTGCAGTCTCTGACCATCTCTTGTACCCTGTCTGCAGTCTCTGACCATCTCTTGTACCCTGTCTGCAGTCTCTGACCATCTCTTGTACCCTGTCTGCAGTCTCTGACCATCTCTTGTACCCTGTCTGCAGTCTCTGACCATCTCTTGTACCCTGTCTGCAGTCTCTGACCATCTCTTGTACCCTGTCTGCAGTCTCTGACCATCTCTTGTACCCTGTCTGCAGTCTCTGACCATCTCTTGTATCATGTCTGCAATCTCTGACCATCTCTTGTATCATGTCTGCAATCTCTGACCATCTCCTGTATCATGTCTGCAGTCTCTGACCATCTCCTGTATCATGTCTGCGGTCTCTGACCATCTCCTGTATCATGTCTGCGGTCTCTGACCATCTCTTGTATCATGTCTACAGTCTCTGACCATCCCCTGTATCATGTATTTGACTATATCCTGTTCTGTGTCTGCTGTCTGTGATAATGCATATTCATAGAATTGTATGTGCAGTCCCTTGGTGGTGTCGGTGGCCGCATTCGAGGCCCCCCATATCAAGAAAGTTGACTACCACTGCTCTAGACACTGTATGGCCCCTCTCTGTCCATGTGCGTGATGAACCTAAAAGACTCCTTCAGGCCTTCATTACAAGCCAAAGATCACCATGAGTGCTGAGTGCCGCCTATTGCTGGGGTGCTTCTGACGTATGCCGCTTGTGTCTGCTCTGTCTTTATAATCCTTAGATTGCACGCTCCTCGGGGGCGGGGACTGATGTGAATGCACAATAGATATGTAAAGTGCTGCGTAAATTGACGGCTCTATATAAGTACCTGAAATAAATAAATAATAATCAAGACTCATTACTTGCATCTCTCTCTTTTCAGAACCAATTGAAATTGGCTCGTTTCACTATTGTAGATGGAAAGGGAATCAGCTTCAAAGATGTTGCTGGGATGCATGAGGCCAAGATGGAAGTTAAGGAGTTTGTGGATTACTTAAAGGTAACTTTAACCGTAGTGATGAGAAAAAAACATGTCTGTTCGTGCAAACGCACAACTCCCCAGTGCAAACGCACAACTCCCCAGTGCAAACGCACAACTCCCCAGTGCAAACGCACAACTCCCCAGTGCAAACGAGAACAAAACTCCAAAAGGCTCAAAACTCAACCAAAGCATGTGCAGATGTGACTAAAGATGAGGGAAATTATAAATGTGACCTAGTCCGGGGGCTTACAATTTCGAGTCTAGACCTACTAGCCAGGCACAAACCTTACTCTCCACCAGTTGCCCCACCCAACCTTGCCCAGGTCCGCCTCAAACCCCACCCATGGCCTGTCCCCCAACCACGCCCCCTTAAAGCTTATGAAATTACATTTTTCTTTAGAATAAAGAGTCCAAAATATAAGGATTGGCACCTTTTGGGGGGCGGTGGGGGGGGGGGGAGCTGGTACCCGAATTTGACAGGTACCTGCTCCCATTTCTGGTCTGATCGCCTAGGCAATCGGAAACGGAAGGTGTCCTCCCTCCCTTCCTTCCTGTAGTCTTTTGGGACATGTGACAGGTCCCAGAAGACTACAGGACCATTGATGAAGCGCAGCTCTACTCGCACATGCTCAGTGGGTACCCGGCTGTGAAGCCGCAAGCTGTCACAGCTGGGTGCCCACACTGAAGATGCCGGCCTCCTGGAATACAGGACGGCCGGTGAAATGGGCTGCAGGGAACACACCATGGGACCGAGGGACAGGTAAGTGGCTGTTTTTTTTAAAAGTCAGCAGCTACAGTTTTTGTACAGTTTTTGTAGCTGCTGACTTTGATTTTTTGACAGGATGAGTGGAACTTTGCTTTAATTTCACACTGCATTGTTATGCAGACATCAATCTATTTCTGTGTGCTCTGATCCACATAGCAGGCAGCTGCGGAGCGGTGCAGAACACTGCACTGTGGCTGCCTATTTCTGCTCTTCAGCTCCTCAGCTCTGCACTGCACCCTGAGCTTTTATGCACCGCTATGCAGCTCTTAATTGCACCCTGCGTTTTATGCGCTGCGACTCATAGATCTGAATAAAATGTCACTTCTATGAAGTTAAAAAAAAAAAAAAAAGGGGTGTTGTACAGAGGACAACAGGGTCACACTTCCTCTGTGGCCTTGGGGTTGGTTCACACCAGATGCTGTCTAGTGCGGTTTTATTTTTCTGCATTGAAACACTTAGAGCAGTGGTTCTTAACCTGGGTTCGATCAAACCCCAGGGGTTTGGTGAGTCAGTCTCGCGGGTTCGGAGGAGGTGAAGACCCACACCCGACTCATATGATTCGTGATGACATGCCCCGCTTGTCCATCATTGGCTGCAGGTGGTCACGCAACATCGCTTAGCCCAGTGGTCGGCAAGCCGCGGCTCGTGAGCCACATGCGGCTCTTTACACGCTTTAATGCGGCTCTTGTGTGCCGGGCGCCCGCTCCCCTCCCTCCTCTCGGGCGGCAGGGACTCTGCAGTGTGATCCAAAAAAAAAAAACAGCCAGGGCAGCGCGCTCAAATGCAATGATTGGCCAGTCTCGCTGCCACTCACATCCTGATAGCCAGTGATTGGCTGTCAGGATGTGTGTAGGCGGGGCAGCGTGACGAACGTGAGAGGAGCTAGGCTCCTCTCACAGTCCGCCCTGAAGACCGGAACGGCGCGGGAATACGGCGAGAGGAACGCGCGGAGCAAAGGTAAGTGAATTGACACAGGGGGGACTTGGCTTACTACTTGCTACTTACTTACTACTACTATATCAGGGATGAATTACTATATGGGGGATGAATTACTATGGGGGATGAATTACTATGGGGGATGAATTACTATGGGGGATGAATTACTATATGGGGGATGAATTACTATATGGGGGATGAATTACTATAGGGGGGATGAATTACTATATGGGGGATGAATTACTATATGGGGGATGAATTACTATATGGGGGATGAATTACTATATGGGGGATGAATTAATATAGGGGGGATGAATTACTATATGGGGGATGAATTACTATATGGGGGATGAATTACTATATGGGGGATGAATTACTATATGGGGGATGAATTACTATATGGGGGATGAATTAATATAGGGGGGATGAATTACTATATGGGGGATGAATTACTATGGGGGATGAATTACTATAAAACAGTGGTTCTTAACCTGGGTTCGATCGAACCCCAGGGGTTCAGTGAGTCAGTCTCGCGGGTTCGGCAGAGGTGAAGACCCACACCCGACTCATATGATTCGTGCAGTAAATATTCATTATTATGTTTTTGTTTTTGTGTGAAAATCATGTTTTAATGGTTTTGTTCTTTGTTCTTAACGGTTTTGTTCATTTTGTGCACCTATGTATAAATATATACCTATGTTTTGAATTTTAAAAATCATATTTTATTTTTCCAATTAAGAAGGGTTCGGTGAATGCGCATATGAAACTGGTGGGGTTCAGTACCTCCAACAAGGTTAAGAACCACTGGCTTAGACGGTAGATTGTATGGGTTCCAATGGCCTAACAGGGCTTAAAATTTCAAGTCCTGAGCTACTAGTCAGGCCTTCGAGTTACTCGCCACCAACAAACAGAGACACCTGTACACACACACACACACACATACACACACAGAAACATGTACACACGCACAGAGACACATATACAGACACATGTATACACACAGATACGTGTACGTACACAGAAATACACACGCGCAGACACATGTACACACAGACACGTGTACATACGTACACACAAACACACATGTACATGCACACATATACATGTACATATACACACACATGTACAGATACACACATGTACAATTGTACATGCATACACAGACACACATGTACACGTACACACACACACACCACCACCCCACCCCCCATAAAAAGTTGCAGTACTTCGTTGTTCACTCACAGAGCCGGGTACTGCACTCTAGGGGGAGGCAGAGAGCACAGCACACACTCCTTACTTTGCTTTCACTGCACTCAGCTATTGAGCAGTCTGACGGCTCCCAGTGCCAGTGACAGATCCGGCCTGAGCTCCGAGCCTGCTCAGCAAGACGGCCCTGGGGGACACACTCCCCCCCCCCCCCCCCCACCATAATTTCCACTCGCCATTGGCGAGCAGGCGAGTGGAAATTTCGAACCCTGGCCTAGTTTACACCACTGCGGTCAGTTAGAGTGCATTTCAGTGCAGAAAAAAAAAGTAAAACATGCTGCACTTTCTTTTTCTGCATTGAACTGTACTGGAACACTGCAAATTGCAAAAAATATGCACCGGAACGCACATGTCCCTATTTTTAAGATGAAGGAAAAAAGAGGAGAAAAAACATACCAGAAAGCATCAAAAACGTGTGCAGAATCGGGAATGCGTTTCTATGGTGTGGACCGGCCCTAAGTCATTATTTCTCTTATTTTACCAGTTTTTTTTTTTCCAAGGGCTGGAGCCGAGTCACGTGGCTGGAGCTGCAGTGGGAAGTCAAACATTTATCATCGGTATTACCGCCTCTGCTAAGGCTGGGTTCACACTCATGCGGTGCTGTACATCGCATATGATTCGCACAGGAACAGCACCACATTCCTGTTCAAATCACATGCGAATTGTGTGTGGTGCAATTTGAGCCGTACATTATATATGGCTGAAATCGCCCCGCACCAAAAAGGTGCAGGACCCTTTTTTTGGTCCGCACTAGAATAGGATCGCATGAGTATTCACACCTATGCGATCCGATTCTACACATCGCACTGCGTTTTGCGGACCGATTTTCGGAGTTGCCACCTTTAACATACACACCTGCAGTGGTTCGCATGAATGGGGTGTGATTCTGATGCGGTGCAGAATTCGCACAGAAAACGCTGCAAATTCTGCACCGCATCAGTGTGAACCCGGGCTTAATGTGACCACTTCCTGCTCAGGGCCCCTGGTTGTTAGGGAGCCGACGTTCACCTGTAGTGGGTGGAGCCTGCTGGGTCCCTCCCACAGCTCTGCTTTCTGCACAGGCTATGGACAGCACAGTGATGATGTCGCTGCTATTTTTACAAGGTAATATCAGGGCCTTTAAAGGCACTTGGTGATCACAAAGTGGGTTTTTGCAGAATGTATTTCATTGAACATTTTTAGGCCCAGAACTCAGCTTGAAAATGCCTAATGTAGGTCAGCTGTTCGAAATCAACTGCACCTGACGTATTTCATCTTTTAGAGCAGCCTTTCTCAACTTTTTGAACTTGGAGGAACTTTTGAAATACCTTTCAGGTCTCGGAGAACCCCTGCTAACAATGACTATGCTGTAAGTACAGCTCACGGTACATTAGTATGACGGGGAAACGGAAGAATTCTCCTTACATTTAGGGTCAGTAGGAAAAATCTCCCTTTATAGATGGCTAAAAGAGATCATTGGTCTCTGTGGTTACTCATATGAGAGGCAGAGGTTGCTCAAGGACCCCCAGGCAACCTTTTGGAGGACCCCCAGGGTTGAGACAGGCTGGTCTAGGTAGTTTTATCGCTGCCAGATATAAATTCATGTTCTCTTGATGTGTATGAACCCCCAACTAAAGCTTTCTACTCTGACGCAGAGTCCAGAGCGATACCTACACTTGGGGGCTAAAGTACCTAAAGGTGCGTTACTTCTCGGGCCGCCAGGATGTGGGAAAACCCTGCTTGCCAAGGCCGTAGCCACAGAAGCGCAGGTGCCATTCCTGGCAATAGCCGGCTCAGAATTTGTGGAGGTGATTGGAGGTAAGACAATACTCGACAACGAGAGCTCATTGTAACTTCCCCCATCCCAGCGCTCGGCTTGTCTTTACCCACAATTCCTCTGCACACCCTGTCTTTTAATGCTGTTTATGTAAATATATATATATGTGTCTACTGATGCCAGCTGCTGGGGGATCTATGGTCACTGGGGGGATCATTTGTTGCTTGGGAGGTCTATTTTTGCTGGAGTGATCTTATGTTGCTAGGGGGCCAATTGTTGCTGGGAGGGATGTACTGTCGAGGGAGGGGTCTATTGTTGCTGTCTGCTGGAGGGTCTATTGATGCTGGTAGACCTTAGGTTTTGTTACATTGGGGGTCTGTTAATGCTGGGGGGTCTATTGCTCTGGGGGATATTTTGATGTGTACACAGACACACACGTGTACACACACACACCAAAATATCCCCCAGAGCAATAGACCCCCCCAGCATTAACAGACCCCCAATGTAACAAAACCTAAGGTCTACCGGCAGACAGCGACAATAGACCCCTCCCTCGACAGTTCCCCCTGGTGCAATCGGGGTTCCCTGGGGTCCTCCTGGTGCGGTGGGCCCTGGGGTCCTCCTGGTGCGGTGGGCCCTGGGTTCCTCCTGGTGCGGTGGGCCCTGGGTTCCTCCTGGTGCGGTGGGCCCTGGGTGGGTCCTCCTCTCTGGTGCGGTGGGTCCCTGGGTTCCTCCTGGTGCGGTGGGCCCTGGGTTCCTCCTGGTGCGGTGGGCCCTGGGGTTCCTCCTGGTGCGGTGGGCCCTGGGTTCCTCCTGGTGCGGTGGGCCCTGGGTTCCTCCTGGTGCAGACAATGCCCGGCCTCATGTGGTGAGAGTATGCAGGCAGTTCCTGGAGGATGAAGGAATTGATACCATTGAATGGCCCCAACGCTCCTCTCACCTAAATCCAATAGAACCCCTCTGGGATGTCATGTTGCGGTCCATCCGACGCCGCCATGTTGCACCTCAGACTGTCCAGGAGCTCAGTGACGCCCTGGTCCAGATCTGGGAGGAAATCCCCCAGGACACCATCCGTGGTCTCATTAGGAGCCTCCCCCGACGTTGTCAGGCATGCATACAAGCACGTGGGGGCCACACAGACTACTGAGGACCATTCTGAGTTGCTGCAATGACATTTCAAATGGACTCGCCTGCTGCATCATTTCTTCACTTTGATTTTCGGGGTGTCTGTGAATTCGGTCCTCTGTAGGTCGATCATTTTCATTTCCATCAAACGATGGGGCGTCCTTACGTTCCTCACCCATCCCCCGTCCATGTCAGTATAGAGATCCAGCAGGAGATTCCTCCCCATTGGGATCTGATGGGTTTTCAAAGTGTTGTTTTCATTTTTTTTTGGAGCCGTGTATATTAAGGGCAGGTTTGTCTGGAGGGAGCCCACTCCTCCTTATAGGCACATGGACACATTAGAAGCCCAGAGCCCAATGGCAGCTGAAGGTGGCCAATGTGTCCCCATGCCAAACTCAGCTGGCAAGCTGCACAAGAATGGCAACCACCCCAACTAGCTTTTGAAGTAAAGTGCACATGGACACAATAAAAAACAAAAACAGAAAATTTTCAGCACCCTTACCAGCTAGCTGGCAAAAAAAAAAATTGACCAATTATAACCACATTTACGGTAGAAACAGGTTTTAGTTGCGCACATTTGCAAATCTAAGTGGAAGCCGCAGTGCCTCGCCAATGGACAGTTCTTTGTAAAACTAAATGTCTTCCAGTTTTAGCTGTATTTTAATTCTCTGTGAACATCCAAATGCCTCATTACAACTCTTGCCTCCCTCTTTCCGTCAGGCCTAGGTGCAGCGCGCATGCGTAGCCTCTTCAAAGAAGCTCGTGCCCGAGCTCCCTGCATTGTCTACATTGATGAGATTGATGCCGTAGGAAAGAAGAGGGCCACAAACATGTCTGCATTCTCAAACACCGAGGAGGAACAAACGCTCAACCAGTTGCTGGTAGAGATGGATGGTGAGTATTGATGGCCCGAATACCGCCCCTGTTCAGTTCACGGTCGAACATCCGAATCTAAAGAAAGTTCGACTGTGAACTTCGAACTTAATGCAAGTCTATGGAACTCGAAACTTGTAAGTTCAAAAGTGCCCATTTTAAAGGCCTATATACAAGTTCTGTGCCATAAAAGGGGTATGGGGACTCGGGGACTGCCCTGAGGGACATGAATCAGTGAACAAAAACAATTTCAAAAAGTACAGTTTTTAAAGGGGCAGTCATTTTTCATTGCTTAACCTCCCTGGCGATATTCCCGAGTGTAGCTCGGGGTACGAAAAGCGGTATCCAACCCCCCCGAGCTACACTTGGGAATACCATGCAGCGTTGCTCAGGGATTCCCTGCACCACTTACCTTGTCCTGCGCTCCCGCGATGTGTTCCCTGCAGCGTCACCGGCCATCTCCTCCAGCCGATGCCGACATCCATCTTCCGGTCCCTGCGAGCGTCGGGACGTACGGGGGACGTAACTGGCGAGAGATTTGAAAATTTTAAAAAGTGACATTCACTAAACACACTAAAATCACATCGTATAACATTCCTGTATCAAACCATTTCACATACATTGTGTCCCGAGTGCTTTGTCCGGCGCCCTGCCTGCATTATTACTGTTCTTTCTGCCTGGAAACTGAGAAACGTCCATGGCGTCCAAAAAGCGTCCCTTTAGGTCAGACGCGGTTTTAGAGCGGCTAGAGAACAGCGATAGTAAATCAGAACCACTTGCAGAATTGAGTGATAATGATTGGTGGGGGAAATTCCTCATCAGACACTGAAAACGATTCTGCGACTGAGCTCAGCGATGGGCCAACTTGGCGCTATATTTCACATTTCAGTGTTTTTGGTTTGATTATATTATTGAATTACATTTATTATTATATTTTTTTGATTATTAAATTATAATTTATGATTTCGTGTTTCAAATTGTATCCTACCCGGGATGTTTACTAGACTCTTGTCCGGACAGATTTCAGTGGGTTATTCCTAAAAATTACAGGACTACAATAAAAAAACAACATATTTCCATGCAAAAAAAATTACCGCTTTGCGCACAGAAATACTGACATCATCAGACCGCTAGGGAGGTTAAAGTTAAAAAACAAACATTCCTTTAATTCGCCTCCTGACTGCCATATAAGGAAATGATGGGAGGGCGGTGGTGGTTCTCTTGTTCTGGGAGGACGTCCTCCCACTCTAAATGCGCATGCGCACAGATCGGTGTTGCTCTGTGTCCCTGGGACACAGCGCATCAGCGATCAGAGTAAAGAGCCAATGACATCGGCTCTGTCATGTGATCAGCTGTGTCCAATCACAGCTGATCGCATGTAAACAAGGAAATTCCGGTTGTCAGCAGTCTTCTCTTCATGCTAAGCGCGTGAGGAGAGGAGAGCCGGTAATTGGCATTCCTCAGAGGGGACATCTACACTGATCATCAGGGCCCTGATATTCAGTGTAGCCCCGTCAATTCCCACATGTCAGTGCCACATCAATGCCACATAAAAGGTGCCTACCAATGCACATCAATGCCACATATCAGTGCCATCAGAGCTGCCTTTCAGTGCCAATTATCAGTGCCGCCTAACCGTTCCCATCAGTGCCAGTCAATGCTACCTGTCAGTGCCCTATATGACTGCTGCCTTTCAGTGCCCATCAGTGATACCTATGAATGCCCATCAGTGATGCTTGTCAATGCCCATCAGTGCCCATCACTGCAACTTCATTAGCGCACCTCAGTGCAGGAGAAAAATTACTTGTTTACAACATTTTTTTTTTTAATTTTTAGTCTTTTTTAGTTTGTTTATCAAAAAATAAAAGCCCTGATGTGATAAAATACCACCAAAAGAAAGCTCTATCTGTCTAAAAAAAAAAAAAATGATAAAAATGTTGTTTGGGTACAGTGTTGCATGACCGCGCAATTGTCATTCAAATTGCGACAGTGCTGAAAGCTGAAAATTGGCCTGGGCAGGAAGGGGGTAAAAGTGCCTGGCAGGCAAGGGGTTAAATATCATGCCTGGGGGGCGGGGTCCCCTTAAACTACCTGCAAAGTTGCACATCTGTACAATGTATAGAACCGACTGCAGCAGAACTGATATTTTTTTTCATTAAAAGAGCATGGGGTCCCCCCCAATCCATACCACACCCTATAGGTCTGGTAGGAAGGTTAGGAGAGACTCCACAGTAAAAAAAAAAAAAAAAAAAAAAAAAAAAATAAAAAAAAAGTGCATCATTAGTGTCAGTAGAAGGAATAGTGCCCCATTGGTGTCAGTGGGAGGAATAGTGCCCCATCATTGGTGTCAGTGGGAGGAATAGTGCCCCATCATTGGTGTCAGTAGGAGGAATAGCGCCCCATCATTGGTGTCAGTGGGAGGAATAGTACCCCATTAGTGTCAGTGGAAGGAATAGTGCCCCATCATTGGTGTCAGTGGGAGGAATAGTGCCCCATCATTGGTGTCAGTGGGAGGAATAGTGCCCCATCATTGGTGTCAGTAGGAGGAATAGCGCCCCATCATTGGTGTCAGTGGGAGGAATAGTGTCCCATCATTGGTGTCAGTGGGAGGAATAGTGCCCCATCATTGGTGTCAGTGGGGGGAATAGTGCCCCATCATTGGTGTCAGTGGGAGGAATAGTGCCCCATCATTGGTGTCAGTGGGAGGAATAGCGCCCCATCATTGGTGTCAGTGGGAGGAATAGTGTCCCATCATTGGTGTCAGTGGGAGGAATAGTGTCCCATCATTGGTGTCAGTGGGAGGAATAGTGCCCCATCATTGGTGTCAGTGGGAGGAATAGTGCCCCATCATTGGTGTCAGTGGGAGGAATAGTGCCCCATCATTGGTGTCAGTGGGAGGAATAGTGCCCCATCATTGGTGTCAGTGGGAGGGATAGTGCCCCATCATTGGTGTGAGTGGAAGGAATTATGCCCCATCGTTGGTGTCAGTAGCAGGAATTATGCCCCATCATTGGTGTCAGTGGAAGGAATAGTGCCCCATCATTGGTGTCAGTGGGAGGAATAGTGCCCCATTCATTGGTGTCAATGGAAGGAATAGTGTCCCGAGGTCCTTTTATAGAGGCAAACAAAGGGTCACATCCGGCCCCCAGCTGGCTGCAGTTTGCAGACCACTGGTCTATGTCAAACTAAAATTGTTTTGGGTAAAATGGAACATTTCAAACACTATACATTGTAACCTTTTCTTCTTTATAAGTCTTTTTATTAAACAGAAGTAATTGATCCCGGGTTTTACATGGTACATAATATTTTTTGCATGTAATGATCATGTGATCGGCTTTTCTAGTGGTCACATGATCATGGTCTTGGAACTAGGAGCCAACACTGCTGCAGGCTTCTGGTCAAGTTCCTGACATGACGGGCATTGTACTGGGGAACATTAATCTGCAGACCGTGGACAGATACCACGTTATTACCATTTATGAACAGCAGAAGCAGTTTCCTTTCAAACTCTCTTTTTGAGTCAAAACCCTAATAAAAGGCAGAAATATATTTGCACATATTTCAGACATGGGCATGCAAGCATATATGGCTTTTTGGCCGAATCTGGGTTCTTCGTATAATTTTGTTAAATAACTTGTCATTCGTGATTGACAGCTTGTAATACTCCTTTGGGGGGGGGGGGGAGCCACAGACTACTATTGGAAGTCTCATTTGTGAGGAATATAAGAAACGGGCGGGTGCTTCAGGCCACCGGTGCCCACCCTAACCTGAAAGATTGGTTTTAGGATGTTTGGCCCTTAAAGCGGAGCTCCGCCCAAAAGGGGAAGTTCCACTTCAATGCATTGTCCCCCCCGCTTCCCGTTAAGGATTGGCACCTTTGGGGAGCGGGTAGCAGAATCTGACAGGTACCCATTCCCACTTCCGCTGTGATCGCTAATGGAAGCAGAAGGTAACCTCTCCCTCCCCATAGTTGTCTTGGACATGTAACAGGTCCTAGAAGAATACGGGTCAGAAGCGGAAGTCATCCTCAACCCCCCACCCTTCCCTCCCTCTCTCTCTCCCTGTCTCCTTCCCTCTCTCCTTCCCTCTCTCCTTCCCTCTCTTCTTTCCCTCTCTCCTTCCCTCTCTCCTTCCCTCCCTCTCCTTCCCTCCTTCCATCTCTCTCTCTCTCCTTCCCCCCTCTCCTCCTCTCCCCTTCCCCCCCTCTCTCCTTCCCCCCTCTCTCTCCTCCTCCCCCCTCTCCTCTCTCTCCTCCCCCCCTCTCTCTCCTCCCCCCCTCTCTCTCCTCCCCCCCTCTCTCTTCCTCTCCCCCCCTCTCTTCCTCTCCCCCCCCCTCTCTCTCTCCCTCCCACTCCCTCTCTCCCCCCTCTCCCCTCTCCCTCTCTCTCTCCTCTCCCCCCTCCTCTCTCTCTTCCTCTCCCCCTCCCTCTCTCTTCCTCTCCCCCCCCTCTCTCTCTCTCTTCCTCTCCTTCCTCTCCCCCTCCCTCTCTCTTCTCTCCTCTCTCCCCCTCCCCCTCTCTTCCTCTCTCCCCCTCCCTCTCTCTTCCTCTCTCCCCCTCCCTCTCTCTTCCTCTCTCCCCCTCCTCCCTCTCTCTCTCCTCTCTCCCCTCCCTCTCTCTTCCTCTCTCCCCCTCCCTCTCTCTTCCTCTCTCCCCCTCCCTCTCTCTTCCTCTCTCCCCCTCCCTCTCTCTCTCCTCTCTCTCCCCCTCCCCCCATACCCTCTCTCTCTTCCTCTCTCCCCCCCCTCTCTCTCTCCCTCCCTCCTCCCCCCCCCTCTCCTCTCTCCCCTCCTCCCTCTCTCCTCTCTCCCTCCCCCCTCTCTCTCCCTCCCCCCCCCCCCCCTCCTCCCATCTCTCTCCCTCCCCCTCTCTCTCCTCTCCCCCCTCCCCCCCTCCCCCCCCCCCCTCTCTCTCTCTCTTTCCCTCTCCCCCCCATCTCCCTCCCCCCCATCTCTCTCTCCCTCCCCCCCATCTCTCTCTCCCTCCCCCCCTCTCTCTCTCTCTCTCTCTCTCTCCCCCCCCCCCATCTCTCTCCCTCCCCCATCTCTCTCTCTCTCCCTCTCTCTCCCTCTCCCTCTCCCTCTCTCTCTCCCCCTCTCTGTAGTCGTCTGGGACATGTGACAGGTCCCAAAAGACTACGGGGCCATTCACAAAGCGCAGCGCTACTCGTGCATGTGCAGTGGGCACCCGGCTGTGAAGTCGTAAGCTGTCACAGCTGGGTGCCCACTCTAAAGACTTCTGGTGAAACCAGCCATGGTGAGGACACTGCCGGACCGAGAGACAGGTAAGTGTCTGTACTTTAATAGTCAGCAGCTACAGTTTTTGTACAGTTTCTGTAGCTGGTGACTTCAACTGGAACTCCGCATTAATGTCTGTGTCTTCCGATGTCTCTGCCAGGTATGGGCACCACCGATCATGTGATCGTGCTCGCCTCCACCAACAGAGCTGACGTTCTGGACAACGCATTGATGCGGCCAGGAAGATTGGACAGACACATCTTCATCGATCTCCCCACACTGCAGGTGAGACACATTCGTAGTATAGCTAAGCATAGCATTTGGCATGGTGGGATTTTTCAGGCACAACAACTCTTATTTTCTAAAAAAGAAGTTTATTTGTACAAAAATGTATTAAAATATAACATTCATCAACTTAATGTCTAAAACCACATTCAATTCACATTCCATCTCAGATACAATATAAGTTGTGAATATAGATTTTGAAAAGATAAAGCTTGAGCTTTTCAGAATCTATATCTGCAATTTATATTGTATCTGGTATGGAATGCAAATTAAATGTGATTTTAGACATTAAAGCGGAGTTCCACCTGCGAGAGAGGGGAAAAAAAAAAAGTCAGCAGCTACAGTTTTTGTAGCTGCTGACTTTTTTTTTTTTTTTTTTTTTTTTTTTTTTTTAATACAGCCACTTACCTGTCCTTCGGCCCCACGGTGTCCTCAGCACGGCTGGTTTCACCGGCATCTTCAGTGTGGGCACCCGGCTGTGACAGTGCATGCGTGAGAATTGCTGCGCTTTGTGAATGGCCCCGTAGTCTTCTGAGACCTGTCATGTGTCCCCGAAGACTACGGGGGGGTACAACAACTTCTGCTTCCGATCACCTAGGCAATCGCAGCGGAAGTGGGAGCAGGTACCTGTCAAATTCAGGTACCTGCTTCCCCCCCTCCACTCCCAAAAGGTGTCAATCCTTAATGGGGAGCGGGGGGACAAAGGCTTAAAGCCGAATTTCCCTTTTTGGGTGGAGCTCCGCTTTAAGGTGATGAATATGTTATATTTGAATCAATTTTTGTACGAATAATCTGTATCTTTTTAAGAAAATAGAGTTGTTGTGCCTGAAAGATCCCACCATGTCAAATGCTGTGTTTAGTTGAAATTAGGGATGCGGCACGGTTTTGGGCCCTTTATATTCTATTCATAGTATAGGTTTTGTGGCTCTTGATTTAAGCAGTTTTGTTCTGCATTCCAGGAGAGAAGAGAGATTTTTGAGCAGCACCTAAAGAGCCTGAAGTTGACACAGCCTGGAAATTTCTACTCCCAGGGTTTGGCGGAACTTACTCCGGGATTCAGTGGTAAGATGGCCATCTGCACCAAATCCTAATTCACAGGGAACCTATGGCTCGGCTATAGTCATTCAAGTATTTAGATGTTGTTAAGAAGCTTTAAAACAAACCCTCACTGACCTCTGTAGTCGTGGCACTGAGGAGCTATTCATCCTTCAAGTTTACAGCAGGACGGTCATCATTTAACCAGCTCCCGCTCGGCCTATTGGAGAATGACAGCAAAGCAGGACTCTCGTCAATCTGGGTGGGCATCGTATGACATCCTCCCAGATCACCGCCTTGCACGCGCCTGCAGGGCCACGCTGTGGCAAGGTCTGTGTACCAGCCATTTCAGGTACCATGTGACCTCTGTGACCCATCACAGCAGGTCACATGACAATTGTAAACAATGGATGGCTTCCCTTCATGCCATCCATTGTATACAATTGTGGTGTTAGCTGTGATTGGTCACAGTGATCACCTATGCAGACTGGGCCAGTCACAGCCCATCTGTGTCATGTGATTAGCTGTGGCCAATCACAGCTAATCACAACAAAAAACACTGAATAAATCGATTTTCATTCAGTTTAATACTTGCCTATAGCAGTGAAATTCAGTCACAATGTGTAAAAAAAGAAAAAAAAAAACTGATCACTTCCCCAGAGTAGTACAATATTACTATTTTATTAAAAAAAAAAAAAAAAAAAAACAAATCGTACAAAAAAAGTAATAAAAAAAAAAAGTGTGTATGTACATGTATGTATACACACACACATAATATATACATACATACATGTGTGTGTATACATACATGTACATACACACACCCTTTTTTTTTTTTTTTTTTTTTCCCGCACGGTCACCAGTCAGTGTCCCTGACCGCCACCACACCGCACAGTTTTGCATGACCGCACACTTGTCAATCAAACTGTGAGAGCAGCAAAAACGGAAAATTGGCCTGGGCAGGAAGGGGGTAAAAGTGCCCGGTATTGAAGTGGCTAAGCTTTTCTCAGCAGCTGGACTCCTCCGCATCCTTCTAGGGCAGTACAGTGGTTAGCACCTTTGCCTGGCAGCAGTGGAGTCGTCGGTTCGAATCCCAACCGTGGCACTACTTGCCTGGAGTTGCATGTTCTTCCTTTGCCTGGTTTCCTTCGGGCACTCTGGTTTCCTCCCACACTCCAAAGACCTGCTGGTAGGTTAATTTTCTCCTGTATGAATGTAAGTTAGGGACCATAGATTGTAAGCTATTCGAGGGTTAGGGTCTGATGTGAATGTACAATATATACGGTATGTAAAGTGCTGCATATATTGATGCCGCTATTTAAGTACCTGTAATAAAAAAAAAAAAGCCCTCTAATGTAAACAAAGAGCAGGTGATTTGGGAAGGGGAACTGAGCTACTGGGACAACAACTGGAATGATGTCAGCCATGCTTTGCTGTGAACTTTGATGAATTGCTCCACAGCGCTTGCGGCTATAGTGGTCAGAGAGGGTTTGAGTGAAACACGATTTTCTGCTTTTTAACAATACAGAAATACTTTGACATCCGTAACATGGCCATGGGTCCGCTTGTTTGGGTTGCCACTGCAAATGTAAATGCGTTCTATGTCTTGGTGAATCTGGTAGTGAGATTGTTTTGCCCTTTGAGTTGCCACACTTGCACAAATGTTTCAGCCATGGGGAGAGTCACAGCCTCCTTGCTACATGTGAACCCCGAAGATGAGCTGGAACAGAGCCACAAACTGTGGCAGTGAGATCTCATTTCCCCAGAATCCCCAGAAGTTATTATGGACTAGTGGGAGACCTCAGTCCACCGGAATCTTCCTGTAATTTAAGCATCACCTGTAGGTGGAATGACGTTTTCCGAAAAAGTAATTGCAAACGTGCACCTTCCTCCCTTTTAGGGGCCGACATCGCTAATATTTGTAACGAGGCAGCTCTGCATGCAGCGCGGGAAGGACATCAGTCCGTACACACCTCCAACTTTGATTATGCTGTGGAGAGAGTGATTGCAGGTAAGAATAGCAGACATCACAATTTGTATGTAAGGTATGTGCACACCGACCGAGAACAGCATAAAAACAATACACAATACACACGGCGTAATAATAAATGAAAGGCCCAACTCCAGACAAAGGTGTGTGTTTGTTTTGTTTTTTTTTTTTTTTTTACTATTGAATAATGTGCTGAGACATTACAACTTCTGTCAACTTTTTCTTGCTTTCTGTATCCTCATTTAGTAGCTATTTCTTCACTTTCTGCCTGATGAGAGATGGTAAAATCTCCCCATGTTTTCTATTTGACAAGAGTCAGAATTGAAGTAGATATGAGGCATCACTTTATTACATAACCAGCATATATTACATCTATAAATGAGTGAGTTTATTTATAAAAGCTATTTAAAATTTTGTTCCTTAAAGTGTTACTAAACCCCGGGCCCCGCACTCACCATATCCGCTCTCCCCGGACCCCGCACTCACCATATCCGCTCTCCCCGGACCCCGCACTCACCATATCCGCTCTCCCCGGACCCCGCATTCACTGTATCTCCCCGGCTCCCCCCCGGACCCCGCACTCACCATATCCGCTCTCCCCGGACCCCGCATTCACTGTATCCGCTCTCCCCGGACCCCGCACTCACCATATCCGCTCTCCCCGGACCCCGCATTCACCGTATCCGCTCTCCCCGGACCCCGCATTCACCGTATCCGCTCTCCCCGGACCCCGCATTCACCGTATCCGCTCTCCCCGGACCCCGCACTCACTATATCCGCTCTCCCCGGACCCCGCACTCACCATATCCGCTCTCCCCGGACCCCGCATTCACTGTATCCGCTCTCCGCTCTCCCCGGACCCCGCATTCACCATATCCGCTCTCCCCGGACCCCGCATTCACCGTATCCGCTCTCCCCCCGGACCCCGCATTCACCTATATCCGCTCTCCCCGGACCCCGCACTCACCATATCCGCTCTCCCCGGACCCCGCACTCACATATCCGCTATATCCGCTCTCCCCGGACCCCGCATTCAGTATATCCGCTCTCCCCGGACCCCGCACTCACCATATCCGCTCTCCCCCGGACCCCGCACTCACCATATCCGCTCTCCCCGGACCCCGCACTCACCATATCCGCTCTCCCCCCCCCCGGACCCCGCACTCACTATATCCGCTCTCCCCGGACCCCGCACTCACTATATCCGCTCTCCCTGGACCCCGCACTCACTATATCCGCTCTCCCCGGACCCCGCATCACTATATCCGCTCTCCCCTATGACCCCGCACTCACTATATCCGCTCCCCCCGGACCCCGCATCACTATATCCGCTCTCCCCGGACCCCGCATCACTATATCCGCTCCCCCCGGACCCCGCATTCACTGTATCCGCTCCCCCCGGACCCCGCATTCACTGTATCCGCTCCCCCCGGACCCCGCATTCACTGTATCCGCTCCCCCCGGACCCCGCATTCACTGTATCCGCTCCCCCCGGACCCCGCATTCACTATATCTGCTCTCCCCGGAACCCGCATTCACTATATCCGCTCTCCCCGGAACCCCGCATTCACTATATCCGCTCTCTCCGGACCCCGCATTCACTATATCCGCTCCGGACCCTCACTATATCCGCTCTCCCCGGACCCGGCATTCACTATATCCGCTCTCCCCGGACCCCGCATTCACTATATCCGCTCTCCCGGGACCCCGCATTCACTATATCCGCTCCCCCCGGACCCCGCACTCACTATATCCGCTCCCCCCAGACCCCGCACTCACTATATCCGATCCCCCCGGACCCCGCATTCACTATATCCGCTCCCCCCGGACCCCGCACTCACTATATCCGCTCCCCCCGGACCCCGCACTCACTGTATCCGCTCTCCCCGGACCCCGCACTCACTGTATCCGCTCTCTTCAGACCCCGCACTCACTGTATCCGCTCTCCCCGGACCCCGCACTCCCCCTATATCCGCCCTCCCCGGACCCCGCACTCACTATATCCGCTCTCCCCGGACCCCGCACTCACTATATCCGCTCTCCCCGGACCCCGCACTCACTATATCCGCTCTCCCCGGACCCCGCACTCACTCCCCGGACCCCGCACTCACTATATCCGCTCTCCCCGGACCCCGCACTCACTATATCCGCTCTCCCCGGACCCCGCACTCACTATATCCGCTCTCCCCGGACCCCGCACTCACTATATCCGCTCTCCCCGGACCCCGCACTCACTATATCCGCTCTCCCCGGACCCCGCACTCACTATATCCGCTCTCCCCGGACCCCGCATCACTATCACTATATCACTATATCCGCTCTCCCCGGACCCCGCATTCACTATATCCGCTCTCCCACAGTACAAACATGGAATTGCAATTATTTTAGTAAATATAAACTGCTAAATACATTTTCTCATCAGCATATATAGCAGTCTTATGACTTCTATCAGTGTCCAGCAGAGCACTAGTTACAGCTTGTAGTAGGAGTTTTCTTTCTGTTCTAGGAGGATGCAGAACCCCTGACCTCTGTCTGGACAGTGCTGATTGGCCCTGTGCTGATGACATGCACTCCCCTAAGAAAAAATAAAAAAAACCTCTAGCAATACACACCAAACTGAGCATGTGCAGAGTGACTCCACACAATATGTCTTATCAGGAGATAAGAAGGGGACACTGGAAGATGGGGAGGATCAGAGAAGACCGGGTCAAACAATCTTTTTACACAATTGCATTTCCATGTTGTGTGTACTCTGCGAGACCAGATATAGTAAATGCAGGGTGCGGGGTTTAGTAACACTTTAATGCTGTGCACACCCAGGTCAATGAGCATGTATGGCATACACATGTATGGCATACACATACCGTAATTCAGGTTCAGCAGGAACTGGTTGAATTTCAGTCCCTGTGTACCACTGTCTGTTCAACAGAATTTTGTTCTATGACCGGCTGCTGTTGCACAGTCATGCTAGAAAACCAGCATCTGATCAGCTCTGGCAGCCAATGGCTGCAGCACTGATCTTCGTATTCTGATGGGGGGGGGGGGGGGTCCCCGCTGTCAGAAGACAAAGTGGGAGAGATCCCGGCATCAACATGGCTTGTGTTACTGTGGGGATCTGTGAGTTTTGTCTTCCTTCAGCTTGCTAGTTGAATAGTAAACAAAAGACTCAATTTTTTACCCTGCCTTAGCCCCCGTCCCCCTTCTCACTACTTCTCACTACTGTCTGTCTGTGATCTTCCCTACTACAGCGGCTGTCAATAAAGTTTTTTCAGGTCGGTACGGGAAGCTTATGCATAACTGATGGGAAAGTTAAAGCGTACTATCTACAATCAGACTACAGGCACGCTGTCCATTTCCAATCCCCGTGAGCATGCGCGGCAGGGTTATACCGCTTTCAGGATATGTAAATTTACCCCTGATGCCCCTCCCCCGGATCATGTTCCCACCATAATTTATTTTTTTTTTTTTATACTTGTGCTTTTCTAGCAAGAAACCTCTTTTATCACTCCCTGTGACATCGTCATCACCCTTGAAAATGTTGTGCATTCTTTTAGGGACAGCTGTCCAGTTCCTAATGATGTGGGCATACCCTCAGAACTACATCTCCCAAGAGCCTTTTTCCTACAATGCAATGTGTGGGCTGTTGGGAGTCAGCATTGTTTTTCTGAGGGGAAAAAAGACAGAAATCAATGCATGCATGTGGAGTAGGTTAGAGAGGGGCAAGGTGTAGGCGATCTCTGTAGTCCCAGCAAGCATGGCTGCTATTGGGGTAAACGTACATTAGCCTCTATACTGTTCTTTACATGCAGGAACCGTCAAGAAAAGCAAGATCCTGTCAAAGGAGGAGAGGCGTGTGGTAGCGTATCATGAGTCTGGACATGCCCTGGTGGGGTGGATGCTAGAAAACACTGAAGCTGTGATGAAGGTGAGAAGAACATGTATAAGTGGTTGTAAACCTCAGACATGAAATATGAACAAAGTCTATCCCTCTATAGTGTGTACTTGTCTCAGTCCAGAGCACTGAGTGTCATTTCTGTCTGCTGCCTCCTTCCTCTCCTGACCAGTTTTCCTGACACCTAGAGGTACATTTTGGAGGGAGCTCTAGCCTATTGATAACCTCAGCTTTGTTCCTGTGTGCTGTGTGAATGGAGGAGGGGGGGGGTCCTGTTTACACTATTAACACATTGCTAATGCGGCTCTCAAATAAATTGTTGTCTGCCCCGCCCACTGAACCACAGAACTATTCCTATCTGTCCCAAATTCACATACACTATATTGCCCCAAGTACACTATATTGCCCCAAGTATTAGCCCCCGCCTCCTTTCCACGCACATGACCTTTAATGGCCCCCCAGTCAGTCTCAGTCCGTAGGGTTCAATATTGAGTTGGCCCCGCCCTTCCCACGCACATGACCTTTTAATGGCCTCCCAATCTTAGTCCATAGGGTTCAATATTGAGTTGGCCCCGCCCTTTCCACACACATGACCTTTAATGTCCCCCCAGTCTTAGTCCATAGGGTTCAATATTGAGTTGGCCCCAATATATGAGCCCTTTCCACGCACATGACCTCTAATGGCCCCCCAGTCTTAGTCCGTAGGGTTCAATATTGAGTTGGCCCCGCCCTTTGTAGCTATAACAGCTTCAACTCTTCTGGGAAGGCCGTCCACAAGGTTTAGGAGGGTGTCTATGGGAAGGTTGGACCATTCTTCCAGAAGCACATTTGTCAGGTCAGGCACTGATGTCGGGGGAGGGGGCCTGGCTCGCAGTCTCTGCTCTAATTCATCCCAAAGGTGTTCTATGGGGTTGAGGTCAGGACTCTGTGCAGGACAGTCAGGTTCCTCCACCCAAACTGGCTCCTCCATGTCTTTATGGACCTTGCTTTGTGCACTGGGGGGCAGTCATGGTGGAACAGGAAGGGGCCATCCCCAAACTCCTCCCACAAAGTTGGGGGCATGAAATTGTCCAAAATGTCACCTTAAGAGTTCTCTTCACTGGAACTAGGGGGCCAAGCCCAACCCCTGAGCAACACCCCCACACCATAATCCCCCCTCCACCAAACGTTACACTTGTCACAATGCAGTCAGGAGAGTACCATTCTCCTGGCAACCGCCAAACCCAGACACGTCCATCAGATGGCCAGACAGAGAAACGTGATTGGTCACTCCAGAGAACACGTCTCCCCTGCTCTAGAGTCTAGTGGCGGCGTGCTTTACACCACGGCATCCGACGCTTTGCATTGCACTTGGTGATGGAAGGCTTGGATGCAGCTGCTCGGCCATGGAAACCCATTCCATGAAGCTCTCTACACACTGTTGTTGGGCTCATCTGAAGGCCACACCAAGTTTGGAGGTCTTTAGCTATTGACTCTGCAGACAGTTGGCGACTTCTGCGCACTGTGCGCTTCAGCATGCGCTGACCCCGCTCTGTCATGTGACGTGGCCTACCACTTGGTGGCTGAGTGGCTGTTGTTCCCAGTTGCTTCCACTTTGTTATAATCCCACTAACAGTTGAGCGTGGAATATTTAGTAGCTAGGAAATGTCACGGATGGACTTATTGCCCAGGTGACCACCTATCACGGGACCACGCTTGGAGTCACTGAGCTCCTGAGAGCGACCCATTCTTTCACCAATGTTTGTAGAAGCCGTCTGCATGCCTATTTATTTATTTATTTCAGGTACTTGTATAGTGCTGTCAATTTATGCAGCGCTTTACATATATATTGTACATTCACATCAGTCCCTAACCCTCAAGGAGCGTACAATCTAAGGTCCCTAACTTACATTCATACATACACATACTAGGGACAATTTAGACAGGATCCAATTAACCTACTAGCATGTCTTTGAAGTGTGGGAGGAAACTGGAGCACCCGGCAGAAACCCATGCAAGCACAGGGAGAACATGCAAACTCCATGCAGGAGGTGCCATGGTTGCGTAGGGGCTTGATTGTATACACCTGTGGCCATGGAGGGGATTGGAACACCTGAATCACATGATTGGGAGGGGATTGGAACACCTGAATCACATGATATGGGAGGGGATTGGAACACCTGAATCACATGATTGGGAGGGGATTGGAACACCTGAATCACATGATTGGGAGGGGATTGGAACATCTGAATCACATGATTGGGAGGGGATTGGAGCATCTGAATCACATGATTGGGAGGGGATTGGAACACCTGAATCACATGATTGGGAGGGATTGGAACACATGAATAACATGATTGGGGGGCGGTGCCAATACTTTTCACAATATAATGTACATACATTGTTTTCTTTCCCAACACACACTGCAAGTGGGGAACGGGCTCTTTGGAGATGTAGTTGTCAGTAGCAACTTAGCTCCTAGCAGTCGCCCCTGCAATACTTTTTTTTTAAGCGTGGTGATCACAGAGGTTATAAAAGCTGTATTTTGCTCAGCTTGTTGGGAATAAATAATGGGTATGTAGTGACATGCTGTAGACTGGGAGAGGGGATACATTTGGAATGTTTGGGGACAGATTTGCATAATGAATGAACGTCTACCTGAAAGCAATTTATATTGCCTTAAAGGGTATGTCCATTGATGATGGAAGACAAATGCCTAGTGCAATGCAGTTTTCCTTTGGAATGTATTCTAGGTTATAGTTGGTAAATTTTGTGATCTGTATAAAATGTGACGGCTGGACCTGATTAGGAGATTGATTTCCGCAGGTGTCCATTGCTCCAAGAACCAATGCAACGCTGGGGTTTGCTCAGATCTTGCCAAGGGAACAGTACCTCTTCACCAAGGAGCAGCTATTTGAGCGGATGTGTATGGGGCTGGGTGGCAGAGTGGCCGAGGTCATCACCTTCAACAAGGTCACAACTGGTACGTCTACCTCTAATTTAAAGGGCAATTTGTCATTTTGTGGGAAATGCCATCATGTTGTCACCATTTATTGAAAAAGCTGAAATGTAACCCCTTGGTGCTGACGTCACACAAATATGCGGCCTCACAGAACTGGGCTTTTTTCCGTCGGGCCGCATATTTGTGTATCTGTGCCACACGACGCGCTCCCCCAGCACAAAGTCTGGGGTGTCACCGAGAGCCCCAGGTCCCGTGCTAATGAATTTGACCCGGAAGGCCCGATTCTGAGTCACCTGATTGCTGTGACAGCCTCTGACTGGCTATCACAGTGATCAATCACTGTGAAGCCCGTCCCCGTGTTTTCTTTCTCTCTGAATGGAGGAGTGAGATGCATTGTATCTCTCGCTCTCCTTTCAGAGAGGAAAAAAACGTGTTTTTAAAAAAAAAAAAAAAAAAAAAAACCCTAGATGAAGGTTTGATCTAGGTCACGGGTGTCAAACTGGCGGCCCTCCAGCTGTTGCCAAACTACAAGTCCCATGAGGCACTGCAAGATTGACATTTACAAGCATGACTCCCACAAGCATGACTGATCACTGTGATAGCCAGGCAGAGGCTATCACAGCGATCAGGTGACCCAGAATCAGGAGTTCCAGGTCCCAATCCTTAGAACAGGACCCAGGGCTTTAAGTGAGACCCCGGGTTCTATGTGGCGCATTCCCAGCACAAAGACAGGTGAAAAAATTATCGGCCCCACTGAAAAAAGCCCAGTTCAGAGGGGCTGCATATTTGCATACAGTCAGCGTGAAGGGGTTAATCAGGTAGGCCTTTACATGATATAGAGCAGGGCTGGCAAACTGTCGACCCTCCAGCTGTTGCCAAGTCCCATGAGGCATTGCAAGATTGACAGTTACAAGCACAACTCCCAAAGGCAGATGCATGATGGGACTTGTAGTTTGGCAACAGCTGGAGGGCCACCAGTTTGACATCCCTGTTCTCGGTCAACGCCAGGGTTAGTGTTTGGGTCAGGGTCAAAGGTCAGGATTTTTACTTTTTTTTTTTTTTTTTATTTTTAAAAATTTGTGTTATTGTCAATGTTTTAGGTGGGACCAAAAAAAAAAAAAAAAAGCACACTATTGTTTCTGGGCTGTACTACGGGTACAAATAACATACACATGTGTGGTATCGCTGTGATCATCAGGAGCTGGAGAATTTTATTTTGGGTTGTTCTTTGGTGGTAGGTTATGGTAGTAACAAGAAACGCACAGCTAAATTTAAAAAAAACATTTTTTTTTTACTATTGTGGACCAGCTTTTCTTTGATGATAATAATAAAAAAAAAAATCAGGAGATATGTTACCATTTACCACCAAATGAAAGCCCAGTTTATCCTGAAAAAAACGTGTTATAATCCACGTGGATGTACGAAGTAGTTGTGGTGATATGGACGGTTTTACTAACACAGGTCAAAGTTGCAAAATTTTACTTGGGCATTATGATTTGTTTTACCTTTTAGGCATAAAGGGGTTAATTGGCCTATATTTTGCCATCCCTGGTTACTCTTCTTCCCCTCTCATCAGCATGCTGATGAATTTTTTCTTAAATATTTGCCCTAAATAAAAGGTTTTTGTTTCATTACATACCTCTTTTTAGACCCGGTGACGTCATCACACCCCCGGTGACGTCATCACTCCCCCGGTGACGTCATCACTCCCCCGGTGACGCCATCACTCCCCCGGTGACGCCATCACACCCCCGGTGACGCCATCACACCCCCGGTGACGCCATCACTCCCCCGGTGACGTCATCACTCCCCCGGTGACGTCATCACTCCCCCGGTGACGCCATCACTCCCCCGGTGACGTCCTCACTCCCCCGTGACATCATCACTCACTCCCCCGGTGACGTCATCACTCCCCCCCGGTGACGCCATCACACCCCCGGTGACGTCCTCACTCCCCCGGTGACATCATCACTCCCCCCCGGTGACGCCATCACTCCCCCGGTGACGCCATCACTCCCCCGGTGACGCCATCACTCCCCCGGTGACGCCATCACTCCCCCGGTGACGCCATCACTCCCCCGGTGACGCCATCACTCCCCCGGTGACGTCCTCACACCCCCGGTGACGCCCTCACACCCCCGGTGACGCCCTCACACCCCCCGTGACGCCATCACTCTCCCCGGTGACGCCCTCACTCCCCCGGTGACGCCCTCACTCCCCCGGTGACGCCCTCACTCCCCCCCGGTGACGCCATCACTCCCCCGGTGACGCCATCACTCCCCCGGTGACGCCATCACTCCCCCGGTGTGACGTCATCACTCCCCAGTGACGCCATCACTCCCCCGGGTGACATATGTGCATCTCTATGCAGACAGGCCAAAGCTGATCAAAGACTTCTATGACTTGCTGGTTATATTGTACAGGAGCTCAAGATGACCTGAGGAAGGTGACTAAGGTGGCCTATAACATGGTGAAACATTATGGCATGGTGCCCAGCATCGGACAAGTGTCATTCCCAGACGGAGAAAAAGCCGGCATTGGGAGACGACCATTCAGCCAGGGGCTTCAGGAAATGATGGATTATGTGAGTATCACTGCATTGAGAATACATGAAGAAAGACTGGATGAGGGAGGTAGACGAATACTGCTACAGAAATGGCCGCCGCGGCCTAGCGTGCCTTTTGCATGTAATGTGCAGACATAGTTCAGCTGCTGAACAATCTTTTTTTTTTTTTTTGGTGATAGGATTAGTGCACATTTGTACCACATTGGAGCATTCATGTTGTAGGCAGGCAGTGTGCAGACACCCTGGGGCTGGGTTCATTCTGATGGAAGAGTAATGACAGGCCTAAAAAAATGCAACCCAATGTATCAAATGAGAATGCTGTATTTTACAGACATAGCAGTCATTGCCTAACCGGGCCGAAACCCTTCTCTGTCTTAAAGCGCAGTTCCACTCACCTGTCAGAAAATAAGTCAGCAGCTACAAAAACTGTACAAAAACTGTAGCTGCAAAAACAGCCACTTACCTGTCCCTCGGTCCCGCGGTGTGTCCCCCGCAGCCCGTTTCATCAGCCGTCCTGTATTCCAGGAGGCCGGCATCTTCAGTGTGGGCACCCGGCGGGGACAGCTTGCGGCTTCACTGCTGGGTACCCACTACGCATGCGCAAGAAGCGCTGCTCTTCCTGAATGGTCCTGTAGTCTCCTGGGACCTGTCACGTGTCCCAAAAGACTACAGGGAGTGAAGACACCTTCCCCTTCCAGTCGCCTAGGCGATCGGACTGGAAGTGGGAGCGGGTACCTGTCAAATTCGGGTACCCGCTCACCCCTGCCCTCAAAAGGTGCCAATCCTTAATGGGAAGCGGGGGAGCAGTCCTTAAAGCAGAGCTCCACCCAAAAGGGGAAGTTCTGCTTTAAGAAGTATAACATGTTTGTTGTTATAAAGGATTTATATGGCGCCAATAGTTTGCGCATTGCTTTACAAAATGAAGCGGGACAGAACCGTTACAATACAATTTGGTACAAGAAGAAACAGAGGGCCCGGCTTGTTAGAGCTCATTATTATTATCTGCTCTGTAATGGATTGGCACAGAACAGCCCCAATCCTCCTCTTCTGGGGTCCCCCACTGGCACTCCTGGCTCCTCCTATCTTCCGAGTGCCCCCAATAGCAAGTTGCTTGCTATGGGGGCACTCATGCAGGCTCGATCCTGAGCCTCACTGTGTGCATCTATTGTCACACACAGTGCGATTCAGCTCTGCCCCTGCTCCCTTGTCACTGGATTTGAATAACAGCAGCAGGATCTACTGGCTCCTGTTGCTGTCACTAAGTCCAGTGAGTAGCGCCGCTGCTCCAGGGCAAAGCACTGGATCGAGGTTGAGCTCAGGTAAGTATTTAGGGGGTAATGTCAAAAGCTCCTGCGCATGGGTGTGGGAAACTGGAAACAGAGATTTCCGGTGGAACCCGGATGATGTAAACATTCCAAGGGGTAGGTTCTTGTATACGACTGGGGAAGTCCAGAGGCAACTACTAAGAACATAAAACAAAAGCGCACCGGCCTAGCGCATTATCCCGGATACAAATTTATTAAAAATAAATGAGATACAGGTGAAACTCGAAAAATGAGAATCTGGTGCAAAAGTTCATTTATTTCAGTGCAGCAACTTAAAAGGTGAAACTAATATATGAGACTCATTACATGCAAAGCAAGATAGTTCCAGCCGTGATTTGTCATCATTGTGATGATTATGGCTTACAGCTCATGAAAACCCCAAATCCACAATCTCAGAAAATGAGAATATTCCATGTAATCAATAAAACACGGATTGTACATAGAACAATATCGCACCTCTGAAAAGTAGAAGCTGCTCAGTACTTGGTTTGGGCCCCTTTTGCAGCAATTACTGCCCCAATGCGGCGTGGCATGGAAGCTATCAGCCTGTGGCACTGCTGAGGTGTTATGGAAGACCAGGATGCTTCAATAGCGGCCTTCAGCTCTTCTGCATTGTTCGGTCTCATGTCTCTCATCTTTCTCTTGGCAATGCCCCATAGATTCTCTATGGGGTTCAAGTCAGGCGAGTTTGCTGGCCAATCAAGCACAGTAATCCCACGGTCATGGAACCAGGTTTTGGTGCTTTTGGCAGTGTGGGCGGAGCCAAGTCCTGCTGGAAAATGAAGTCAGCATCCCCATAAAGCTAGTCTGTGGAAGGAAGCATGAAGTGCTCCAAAATCTCCTGGTAGACGGCTGCGGTGACCCTGGACTTAATGAAGCACAGTGGGCCAACACCAGCAGATGACATGGCTCCCCAAATCAACACGGACTGTGGAAACTTCACACTGGACTTCAAGCATCTTGCAGTGTGTGCCTCTCCATTCTTCCTCCATACTCGTGGTCCTTGTGCCTCTCCATTCTTCCTCCATACTCGGGGTCCTTGGGCCTCTCCATTCTTCCTCCATACTCGGGGTCCTTGGGCCTCTCCATTCTTCCTCCATACTCGGGGTCCTTGGGCCTCTCCATTCTTCCTCCATACTCGGGATCCTTGTGCCTCTCCATTCTTCCTCCATACTCGGGGTCCTTGGGCCTCTCCATTCTTCCTCCATACTCGGGGTCCTTGGGCCTCTCCATTCTTCCTCCATACTCGGGGTCCTTGTGCCTCTCCATTCTTCCTCCATACTCGGGGTCCTTGGGCCTCTCCATTCTTCCTCCATACTCGGGGTCCTTGGGCCTCTCCATTCTTCCTCCATACTCGGGGTCCTTGGGCCTCTCCATTCTTCCTCCATACTCGGGATCCTTGGGCCTCTCCATTCTTCCCCCATACTCTGGGTCCTTGGGCCTCTCCATTCTTCCTCCATACTCGGGGTCCTTGGGCCTCTCCATTCTTCCTCCATACTCGGGGTCCTTGGGCCTCTCCATTCTTCCTCCATACTCTGGGTCCTTGGGCCTCTCCATTCTTCCTCCATACTCTGGGTCCTTGGGCCTCTCCATTCTTCCTCCATACTCTGGGTCCTTGGGCCTCTCCATTCTTCCTCCATACTCGGGGTCCTTGGGCCTCTCCATTCTTCCTCCATACTCGGGGTCCTTGGGCCTCTCCATTCTTCCTCCATACTCTGGGTCCTTGGGCCTCTCCATTCTTCCTCCATACTCTGGGTCCTTGGGCCTCTCCATTCTTCCTCCATACTCTGGGTCCTTGGGCCTCTCCATTCTTCCTCCATACTCGGGGTCCTTGGGCCTCTCCATTCTTCCTCCATACTCGGGGTCCTTGGGCCTCTCCATTCTTCCTCCATACTCGGGGTCCTTGGGCCTCTCCATTCTTCCTCCATACTCGGGGTCCTTGGTTTCCAAATGAGATGCAAAAGTTGTTCTCATCAGAAAAGAGGACTTTGGACCACTGAGCAACAGACCAGGTCTGTTTTTCTTTAGCCCAGGTAAGACGCTTCTGACAAGAGGAATACGACATTTGAAGCCCATGTCCGGGATCCGTCTGTGTGTGGTGGCTCTTGATGCACTGACTCCAGCCTCAGTCCACTCCTTGTGAAAGTCCCCAACACTTTTAATTGGCCTTTTTTCCTGACAATCCTCTCCAGGCTGCGGTCATCCCTGCTGCTTGTGCACCTTTTTCTCCCACACTTTTCCCTTCCACATAACTTTCTATTAATGTGCTTTGATACAACACTTTGGGAACATCCAACTTCTTCTGCAATTCCCTTTTGAGGCTTTCCCTCCTTATGGAGGGTGTCAGTGATGGTGTCAGGTCAGCAGTCTTTCCCATGATTGTGATTCCTACTGAACCAGACTGAGAGACCATTTAAAGGCTCAGGAACCCTTTGCAGGTGTTATGGCTGAATGAGCTGATTAGAGTGGGACACTTTGAGCCGAGATTATTCCACCTTTTCACAATATTCTCATTTTCTGAGATTGTGGATTTGGGGTTTTCATGAGCTGTAAGCCATAATCATCACAATGATGACAAATCACGGCTTGAACTATCTTGCTTTGCATGGAATGAGTCTCATATATTAGTTTCACCTTTTAAGTTGCAGCACTGAAATAAATGAACTTTTGCACCATATTCTCATTTTTTGAGTTTCACCTGTATATACTCACAAACGAGTGAAAACTAATCGCATAGCAAGTGACAGTCGCTGAGTATGTGTTCCACAAAGAACCAAAAGCCCCGGCATCAAAGAAGTGCCATCCGAGGGCCAACTGAAGGCTGACGCGTTTCGAGGGAAACCCCTATTGGCTCTGAGAAAGATGGTTTCCCTTGAAATGCATCAACCTTCAGTTTACTACTGCTGTGATGCACAGAATGCATGAAGGTGAAAAAAAAGCCTTTACCGCCACTTTAGCAGATAAGTAGACAGTTGAAATTCATATATATAGGAACTTTATTATATTTGTCAGATTTCCAAGCGTTCCGAATATTGTTTTTCCTTTTTTTTCGGCTCAGGAAGCTCAGCATTTGGTGGCCTTGGCTTTTAAACGTACAGAGGAACTACTGCTGGCCAAGAGGCAAGAATTACAGTTGGTGAGTATCAAGTTGTGGTCACTTCTGGTGCATCTGGTGTCCTTCTCTGTCCCATATAATAAGGGTGTTCAGCAACCAGTCGCATTGAAACGTAAACACTTCTCTATGATGGCCTATGTGTCTGTGCACACAGGTGTTTAGAGGCGGGGGCATTTAGAGGCAGAAATCTGAACAATAAACTATTATTCTGGCCAATGAAAAAAAAACATGCCCAAGGCTTGACGTGCTTAAAGTGTTCCTAAACCCTGGACCCACATGGCCATATTGGGTCAATGATGTCATGGGCATCCCAGACACTTTGTGTACATACAGCTGCTGGGCGGGGAATGCCCTGGCCACAGTTGATTGGGTGGGAGTGACCTCTTCCTTCAGGGTTCAGACCAAACCCAGGCTTATCCTTAGGCTGGCCATACATTATACAATTTTTTGGGGGATTTACCAAAACCAGGGGCAGACTGACCATTTGGAAACTCGGGCACTGCCCAAGGGCCCGGGGTCAGTAGGGGCCCCATGAGATGCCCCTGGTACCTTTTTCATAGGCTTTTTTGAGTTTGGGCAAGGACACAGGGGCCCCATGATCCCCTATTGCCCAGGGGCCCCATGAGTTGTCAGTCTGCCCCTGACCAAAACCATATAATATGAGGTCACACCTAAATACTGTCAATTTGTATCCAATCAGGCAGGCTTTTGCACTACATAGTTGAAGGTACATCTAAAGGAAATTGAACAAGAAAATTGTATAGTGTATGGCCAGTTTAAAGTGGAGTTCCACCTGAGAAAAAAAAAGTCAGCAGCTAAAAAAACTGTATCTGCTGACTTTTTAAAATACAGCCACTTACCTTTCCCTCGGTCCAGCAATGTCCTCCGCACCGCTGGTTTCACCGGCTGTCTTCTCTCCCTGGCGCCGGCAACTGCAGTGCGGGCACCCGGCTGTGACAGCTTGCGGCTTCACTGAGCATGTGCAAGAAGTGCTGCGCTTTTTGAATGGCTCCGTAGTCTTCTGGGACCTGTCACGTGTCCCAGTAGACTACGGGGGGAGGGGGGACAACTTCCACTTCCACGTCCGATTGCCTAGGTCAGGGTTAGGCAACCTGCGGCTCTCTAGCTGTTGTGGAACTACATTTCCCATGAGGCATTGCAAGGATTAGAAAACTGACAGTTACAGCTATGACTTGCAGAGGCATGATGGAACTTGTAGTCCTGCAACAGCTGGAGAGCCGCAGGTTGCCTACCCCTGGCCTAGGTGATCGCAGCGGAAGTGGGAGCAGGTACCTGTCAAATTCGGGTACCCACTCCCCAAAGCTGCCAATCCTTAATGGGGAGCGGGGGACAAAGGCTTAAAGCAGAACTTCCCCTTTTGGGTGGAGCTCCTCTTTAAGTCCAAAACCTCAAAGGGGGTGTTGCTTTTATCTGGGTGTGGTCTGCCCAGTCAGGAGCAGGGCTTTTTTTTTTTCTTTTTGAGGCGTGATCTGTCACCATTTGTGCTAAGACGTTTCATACTTGTGCGTTCTCAGTTGGCCGAGCTCCTGTTGGAGCGTGAAGTCGTTAATTACAGTGACATTGAAGAGTTGATTGGCCCTCCTCCACACGGACCTAAGAGAATGATCGCTCCACAGAGCTGGATCGAGGCCGAGAGGGACCGACAAGAAACTAGAGAGGAGGAGCCACGCCCGCCCGCACCACCTCCACGAGACCCAGAAAATGACATCAACCTAAATTCTGTGTGAGAGCTGAGAGGACGGAACGGGCTTCATACAATATACGGAATGTGTGATCAGAATCCACCACTCATGGGTCATGCCACCCCCCCCCCCCCCCCCCCCCCCCCCCCCCCCCCCCCCCCCCCCCCCGACCCTTTGTGGTGTATAGTCTTGGCCAAATGCAGAACGAACTGACCGATCAACGTTGCCAATCTGCTAAAATCCATGATATTATCCTCTGCCTTTGGCTTGCTATGTGTATTCATCGACTTTGTTCTATTGAATGAGGCTTGTTTGCTTTTTCACAGTTCTTCTCTTTGCTGCGTCCTTCTTGCCCCACCAACTAGATTTAGCTGGGTGCCACGAGTGATCCCTCCACACGAGGAGTCCCTATGTTAAGGGACAAAATGCCATTCATGATACAATCTGGTTGCACAATCTACTTTAAATTCACTAACCTCTATCAGGGGTGTCAAACTGGCGGCCCTCCAGCTGTTGCCAAACTACAAGTCCCATCATGCCTCTGCCTTTGGGAGTCATGCTTGTAACTCAATCTTGCAATGCCTCATGGGACTTGTAGTTTGGCAACAGCTGGAGGGCCGCCAGTTTGACACCCCTGCAAAAGGCCTACCTAATTAAAAACCCTTTACGCTGACTGTACGCAAATATGTGGCCCCTCTGGACTGGGCTTTTTTCAGTGGGGCCGCTAATTTGCGTACCTGTCTTTGTGCTGGGAACGAGCCGTACGGAGCCCGGGGTCTCGCTGAAAACCCTGGGTCCTCTTCTAACGATTGGGACCCGGAACGCCTGATTCTGGGTCACCTGATCGCTGTGATAGCCTCTGATTGGCTATCATAGTGATCAGTCACTGTGAAGTCCGCCCCGCACTTGGTGAATGGAGGAGAGAGCATCTCTCTCTGTCCTTTTCAGAAGAGAGGAAGAAAAAAACGAGTGTGTGTAAATAAAAAAAAAAAAAAAAAAATTAAATTAAACATTTTTTTACATAAATAAAATACCTAGATGAAGGTTTGATCTAGTTCAGTATAGAAACGAACTCTCCTGCGCTCTGAGACCCAAAAGAGGTGGATAGATGGAACCAGAACTTGAAAAAATTCGACCACCTGTGCATATGGGGTTGTGCAGCTCCAAACAAGGCTGGGGAAGCCTGACCAATACTGCGAAGCAAAAACAAAAAAAGAAGAAGCGCACCAACCTTGCGCATTACCTCAGTAAACCAAATATTTATTGAATACAGAAATATACTCACAATGAAGTATTTCAAGCATGTCAGTTCTCAAAGGAACTATGGAATGGTAAGACCTGCGCGAGTCCCAACATAGGGGTGGACACTCAGGGAACAGCTGCCGCGTTTCGAAGGATGTTCCTTCTTCATCAGAGCTCTGAACTCCTTGTCAGTATATTTCTGGATTCAATAACAATTTGGTTTACTGAGGTAATGCGCAAGGTTGGTGCTCTTCTTCTTTTTTTGTTTTTGCTTCACAGTGATCTAGGTCAGTGCCAGGGTTAGTGTTTGGGTCAGGGTCAGTATTTGTTTTTTTTTTTTTTTTGGCCAGGATTGTTTTTTTAATTTTTAAATTAGTATCTATGTCAGTTAGCGGCACGATTTAAAAGAAAAAAGGAAAATGTGCATTATTGCGTCTGGGTCGTATTACGGGTACAAACAACAACTAACATCCCCATATGTGGTATCGCTGCGATCATCAGGAGCAGGAGAAATTATTTCGGGTGGTTCTTTGGTGGTAGGATATGGTAGTAATAAGAAATATACAGCTTAAAATTTTTTTTTTACTATTTTGGGACAGTTTTTTCCTTTTGATAATTAAAAAAAAAAAAAAAATCAGGAGATATCCATTAGCATTTACCACCAAATGAAAGCCTAATCTGTCCTGAAAAAGGGGGTAGGTGGTAGGACAGGTAGTGGGGCTTTTTATTTTCCTTCATGCAAAGCATTCATGAAGGTAAAAAATATTTAGACTTTAGGACTACTGCATTTTTGTGTGTCCTTTGTGTGCCCGGAGTTCAGCTTTAGCCCGGGTTCACATATATGTGGTGCGGTATATCGCATGTGATTCACACAGGAACCGCACCGCGTTCCTGTGCCATTCACATGCGATTTGTATGAGGTGCGATCGGAGTCGTACATTGTGTATGGCTCTAATCGCACCGCACCCAAAACACGCAGGACCCTTTTTTTGGTCCGCACTAGAATCGGATCGCACGGGTATTCACACCTATGCGATCCGATTCTGCACATCGCACTGCGTTTTGCGGACCGCTTTCTGGGTGTTGTTAACATATACACCCGCAGCGGTTCGCATGAATGGGGTGCAATTCTGATGAGGTGCGGAATTCGCACTGAAAACGCTGCAAATTCTGCATCAGTGTAAACCCGGGCTTACTGCGATGAAAACTGACAGCCAAACAAAGTGTGCAACAGTGCGAGTCACACAAACCTCTGTATAGGAGCAACGCCAAAGGATTGTTTTTGTTTTTTTTTTTTTCTTTTGTACATTAAAGAGAATGTCATGACCGGGCATTGCCACTATTTTGAATTTGCAGTCCTAATAAATTCTAGTTTTACAGGTTTACTTATGAAAGATAGATATTTGTCTCCTTATTGCCTTTGACTGACTTTAGTCAGAAAATGAAGTCCTGAAAGATCCCCCCAGGCTGGCCGGTATAGTTGTGTAAAACATTAAAAATAAGTACCTATACTGTGTAAAACCCAGAAATACACTCTCACCCTGCTCTGCACATGCTCAGTTGCTTTCTATTCTTGGCACTGTGCCGGAAATCCGAGCCACTAGATTTACTGTTGCTGAAGGGGGAGGAAATTTACAGGAATGTCAGACTGCGGAGGGATCAGAGAGGAGGCTCCAATCTTACAAGGACAGTGTCTTCTCTCATCTCCCTGATATTCTCTGCCTTCTCTCGTCTCTCTGATATTCTCTGCCTTCTCTCATCTCTCTGATATTCTCTCTGTCTTCTCTCTCATCTCCCTGATATTCTCTGTCTTCTCTCATCTCCCTGATATTCTCTGTCTTCTCTCATCTCCCTGATATTCTCTGCCTTCTCTCGTCTCCCTGATATTCTCTGCCTTCTCTCGTCTCCCTGATATTCTCTGTCTTTTCTCGTCTCCCTGATATTCTCTGCCTTCTCTCGTCTCCCTGATATTCTCTGTCTTTCTCATCTCCCTGATATTCTCTGCCTTCTCTCGTCTCCCTGATATTCTCTGCCTTCTCTCTCGTCTCCCTGATATTCTCTGCTTCTCTCTCTCCTCTCCCTGATATTCTCTGCCTTCTCTCGTCTCCCTGATATTCTCTGCCTTCTCTCGTCTCCCTGATATTCTCTGCCTTCTCTCGTCTCCCTGATATTCTCTGCCTTCTCTCCTCTCCCTGATATTCTCTGCCTTCTCTCCTCTCCCTGATATTCTCTGCCTTCTCTCGTCTCTCTGATATTCTCTGCCTTCTCCCTGATATTCTCTGCCGTCTCTCCTCTCCCTGATTTTTCTCTGCCTTCTCTCGTCTCCCTGATATTCTCTGCCCTCTCCCTGATATTCTCTGTCTTCTCTCATCTCTCTGATATTCTCTGCCTTCTCTCCTCTCCCTGATATTCTCTGCCTTCTCTCCTCTCCCTGATATTCTCTGTCTTCTCTCCTCCTCCCCTGATATTCTCTGCCCTCTCCCTGATATTCTCTGCCTTCTCTCTCCCTGATATTCTCTGCCTTCTCTTCCATCACAGTTAAGAGAAGTATGGTATTTTTTTTTTTTCATTACAAAAATCATACTTGCCTAGGTGAATGCTGCATTGGTCCCCCCGCTGGTTCTAAGGGGGGGAGAACTCGGCAATCACATGATCGCTGAGTTCTCACAGCTGCTGTAAGCAGAGAGTGGTGACTGTCAGTCACCACTCTCTGCTGTGCCCCTCCCCCCCCCAGCGCTCACTGGAGGGCAGAGCCAGGTGCTGCTCCAAACTCTGGGGTGGATCCTGACTTTAAAGTCGGGATCTTTCCCCAGCCTGGACCGGTTGAGTGACGTAAGCTGGCAGTGGGCTTTAACCCACTGTCAGCTGAAAAATGGTCACAGGACTGCAAAACGAACTACACTCCTGTGATCCACAGGAGAAGTACAGGCAAAAGAGCTTTGGCTGTACTTCTTTAAATTTTCAAGCATAGTGTCTTCCTGATATTCTCCCCTTTGCCCTTCATCTGTGAACTTCAGCACTGTGAAGCTTCTGTCAGCCTTCCTCTCTAACTGAGCCAAGAACTATAATCAAGGCTGTAATGTACATATTTTAATTGCAGAAATTGACGTTTTTTGAAACTGAGGGGGGGGGGTGTTTGTTACCATGGCGCCCGTCTGTGCGATGTCACGGTGTACCCCAGAGAAGTGAGTCAAGGCTGCTGCGCATTGGGTGCCTGAGCAACCTAACTCCCAGAGACATGAATGCTGTCATAAACACGCGTGTACTGCATGGGCCTAGGCACCGCTGAACGTACACATGGCACTGTCAGTCACGTGACTCGTCACGAAACTTCAATATTTTTCAAAATTCCGTAACAACACTGTGATAGAGGCTCGAGCCTCCAATTGTACATCACTCACACAATGGGGTGTTGCCATGGGTAATGGCGCAAGTTGCCAAGGATTATGGGGCAGTTGCCATGGGTAATGGCGCAGGTTGCCAAGGATTATGGGGCAGGTTGCAAGGGTAATGGCGCAGGTTGCCAAGGATTATGGGGCAGGTGTTGCCATGGGTAATGGCGCAGGTTGCCATGGGTAATGGCGCAGGTTGCCAAGGGTAATGGCGTAGGTTGCCAAGGATTATGGGGCAGGTTGCCATGGGTAATGGCGCAGGTTGCCAAGGATTATGGGGCAGGTTGCCATGGGTAATGGCGCAGGTTGCCAAGGATTATGGGGCAGGTTGCCAAGGGTAATGGCGCAGGTTGCCAAGGATTATGAGGCAGGTTGCCATGGGTAATGGCGCAGGTTGCCATGGGTAATGGC